TGCGCGGCTCTGCCGGGAGCCCCCTTGTCTCGCAGCTCCCGCACAGCCCCCAGAGGGCCCTGAGATGGTGGAGGAGCAGCAGCAGCGGCCCTTTGGCCCCGCGCCCTCCCACAGTGCCAGTAAACCACGGGGGGTTTGCTCCAGCCCCTGCTGGTCCCGTTTTTCCCTCAGCCGCAGCGTGTCCGTGCACCCCACTGACTCTTGAAGTAAGAGGCAGCAGCCGTGGAAGGTTCTGGAAGGTGCCAGGGGGCTCCCGGTCCCGTGAAAGGCTCCTTTGAAAGCGCGGAGTTGCCGCGGCAGATGAAAGCTCGGGGCCCTGGCGGGCGGACAATGGTGTTGCTGGGGATAAGCAGGCACAGACACGCGGCTGTGGGGAGGAAAGCCAGGGAAGAGCAAGGGAGAAGACACAGGGAAGCGCTGGCTTCGCAAGGCTCGTTAAGACCTCCAGCCCCCTCCGTGTTTCCTGAGGCCGTCTCCTGCGGTTTGGAGGGGTTTATCCTCACCACGAGGGGTTTGTTCGCCGACACCTCTGGCCCCAGCCCATGGTTAGGTGTTAGGTGCCGCCACAGGTGTTTCTGAGCCGTGAGGATTAAACAGCTGAAGCTCAGGCTTTGCAGCCTCTGCTGGCCAAGCAGGAATTGCTCTGGTGTTGTCCAAAGCTGGTCACCATCTTCCACGTGTCCTTTAGTAACCAGAGCACTCCAGGGCTTGGAGAATTGGAAAATTCTGGGGCCGAGGGGTTTTCCTCCTCCACCTGTGTGTGTCACTGCCTAAATCCAAGTGAGAGCTCAGCTGTACAGTGGTGGCAGTGGGACACAGCAAGAGGTGACAGGTCATTTTTCCAAGGAGACAACCCCCAGAGAGAAGCAGCAAGGGGAGATCTGTAGCCAGCACAGTGTAAATACAGCTGGAAAAACAAATCTGAAGGATTATTTTAATCAGAAAGAACCAGAAACTTTTAGAAACCTTGCAGTTGGGTGTTTGAAGGGAGAAGGGCTGGGCCTGGCCCAGCAGGGCTTCTGGGAGAGGGTTGGAAGCCCTTTGGAGCAGGGCAGTGTTTAGGGAGGCAAAGTTCATGGGCTCACCACTCCTTCTGGTGAGGAAGAACTGTGTGTAGTCTCCAGGGCTCCTGAACCCTGTTATACCTGACAAACAAAGCGAGTGACAGCTCTGGGCAGGGGACAACTGATACGAAGCAATTTGCTTTGCTGGGTAATAAACCCCTGAGCAGCTGGACTTTGGATGAGCTGCTCTGGTGACTGGGAGGTTTGCAGGGAAACAGATTTCCCTGTTTACACAAGTGTGCTTGTAGCTGCCTCCCCAGCAGAGTTGTCCAAGGAGACTCCTCAAGGGCAGGTGGTGGTGGCTGGAGAAACCTGTGGCAGTGTGAGGGTGGGTGTCCCTTCAGCCCCTCTGCCTCCTCACCAGGCTCTGTGGAGGGATTTGAAGGATCCCTCCTCTATCCTGCTCTTCTCCAGGTTGTACTGGAGAGTGGCTCAAGGCTCACCTTTTCCTGGATGCATTTTGCTGAGCTGGAAGGCAGTGCAGGAGCTGAGGTCTCCTCCCCACCCCTGGGGCTCTGCAGGGTCCTAGGGAAGGAGCCCTGGCCCAGTTTCACCCTGATCCTCCCCAGCTTGACCACTCTCACCCCACAGCATGATGGCACCTGGAGTCTCAGGCTACCCTGTACCTTGTGGAAGTCTTTTCATCCCTCTATCCTGGAGGGCCTCCCACCTTCATGGCCTTCCTCCCTCTCCATCCTCAGCACGGAGCAGGCAGAACCTGGGGCTGGCAGCACCAAAGCAAGGACAAATACAGTCTCGAGGACCCCAGAGATGAAGGTGCAAAACCCACTGAGGTGGCACCACCAGGGTTTGTGGAGCTATTACTGCTTCTTGCAGCTGCCACAGCGCCCCGGGCTGGGGGGCTGCTGCTGCTCCAGCCCACAGGACCCACCCGTGGTGCTGCAGGACCCCAGGAGAGGTCTGAGGGCATCCCCACTGCCGGCCCCAAGGCTCCCTCTCTCCTTCCCCCTGCTGCTGGCAGTGGCCCCTGCGAGGGACAGAGGAGGCAGTGGTGCAATATCCTGCCTTTGTGTGTGCCCGTGGGCCGGGCTGGGGCAAAGAAGCTGCTGCTGCTGGAGGTGCTGCCCTTCAGCTCTGCTCGCTCTGGGATTTGGGGCGGAAGGGCTGAGCCCGGCCCTGGCACAGCGCTGCTATTGTCGTTGTCTCTCACACACATCTCACAGAGCAGGGCCCCGCGGGGGATATTCTCCAGTGAAAGCCCCTGCCCTCCCAGATGGCAGCAACGCCCTCGGGGCCCTACGGCTTTCTCGGAGTGGCCCGGGAGGGACCTTCCCGTGGTGGAGGTTTTGCAGGAACAAAACCCTCCTGCCGCAGCTTCCCCGGCAGAGCCAACACCCCACAGCCCAGTGCTGCGGGACCTGGCGCTGCTCCTCGCTTCCCTGCTTCACCCATATGGCTCCTGGTGAGCAGCTGCAGAGAGAACAGGGCTGGGGGTTGGAACTAAGTGGTCTTTGAGGTCCGTTCCAACCCAAAACGTTCTAAGATTCTGTGATTCTGTCCCCCAAAAAGCTCAGGGAAGAGCTTTGGAGCAGTTCCCTTTGGATGCCTCACTGAGCTGGGGAAGAGCAGGATGCTCTTGGTGCTCAGGATGTGGGAGGGAAGAGCGAAGGACCCTCATCTTCTGTCCCTGTGCAAATTCCCATCCTTGCCTTGCCTCATGGTGCAAACATGGCTCAGCTTTGCCCCCAGGCTCGTGGCCAGCTGGCTACCAGCTGGCAAACAGACCCCAGCATGGCATGGGGAGATGGAGATCCTTGCTATGCCAGATCTGCTCCAGCACTGAGCCCCAGATAAGCTGCAGAGTGAGGCCTTGGGGGTTATGGATTCACCCTTCTGGGTTAGGGCTGCTGGTGGCACACAAGCTGTTCCTGTCACCCCACTGCTGCCAGGGGGCTTGTTCCCATCCCCAAGGAGCATCACTGGTGGCTGTGCAGGCACAGAGCAGCCAGACAGCTCCAGGCCAGCACACACAGGCTGAATGTCACCGTGTGGGTCAGCAGACTCCATCCTTCACTCCATCCCTCCCCTCCCTCTCTGTGCAACTCCTGTCACGAGAAACCCTTGCAGGGAGAGGCTGGTTGAGCAAGAGGCACTGTCACTCTGGGTGCCAGCAGGATCCTGGGGGACACAGCAGGCAGCACCCCAGCACAGTTACTGCCAAGGCTCCCCTGTGCCAGGTGTGAGGTACCCAGCTTTCATGGCTGGCCAGCAGGACTGGTTGCTAATTCCATGCTTTTCTCTGTCCTTGTCAACCCTGCTGCACAACAGGATGCAGCAGAGTGAGGTCTGGACCTGCTCTGTGCTCACCCCCAGTACGCGTTCCCCTGACATCCTGTGCCCCGTATGGCTCCTTGTACTGACCATACTCGGGGTGGCCACAGCAGCTGCAAGGGTAATAACTGTCTGGAAGCACGTTTCCCTTCAGGGTTGTTTGCTTATTCCCGCTGGGTGTGTTTTAGTTTGTGTTTACAGCCAGCAAATTCCACCCACCGCCTGCTCACTCGCTATCACAAAATGCTCCTGTGCTGACAGGCTCTGCTCCCTGACCTGTCCCCTCTCCCTGTGTCCCAGCCCTCTCCTATTCCCTTGGTCCTGAGGCCAGTTGAAGACATTTCACACGTGCCATCCCTGCTCCTTCACATCTCCCTGGGATTTAGAGTTTGGTTCCCCAGTTCTTTGCAGAACCTGTGCAGGAAGGTGCCTCCCTTCACAAGCCGAGCCTGGGCAGCTTGTCCCTGCTCCCCGGTGCCAGAGGGGACAGGACTCATGTTGGGACATTGGTGGCTCTTTTGTGCCTCCTCCTCCATGCCATCCTCCGGGATGGTGTGTCAGCCCAGTCATCCCCTGCTCTCACATCCAAGCCTCAGACACTTCTGTTTTCTTTCCTGCATGGATTATCTGTGAGGGGAAGAACACAGGAGAGGTTTCCCCATGGGAATGTCACAAGGTCTTGCAGCTTGGGAGGCTGATCGCCTCTTCTCCTGCTGGCTTTGAGCCTCAGCCAGGAACAGGTCCCACCTCTGGGAACTGGCCTGGATAATGGATTCCCATGCCAAACTTCCCAGGAGGAACACAGCTACCCCAGCTGGCCCACAGGATCTGCAGGCTCCATGCACACCTCCATCCCAGCACGGACACTCTGTGCATCCATGTGCAGGATGTGTCCCTGGGCATCTCCCATGGGCATCCCCCCCGTGTATCCCTGTGCAAGCTCCCTGGGCATCCATCTTCCCTGTGCATCCCTGTACAGATTGTGTCCTTGAGCATCCTCCCTGTGCATCCCTGGCCAAGCTCCCAAGGGCTTCCCCATCTCAGGTGTGTCCCTGGTATTCTCTGTGCCCATCCCCATCCAGGGTGCCCTGTGCTCATCCCCAGGGCCCCTCCTGTTCCCATATCACCCCCATTCTCACCCCCATTCCCATCCCTATCCCATCCCATCCCCACCCCCATTCCCACCCCCATTCCCATTCCCACTCTCAGCCCATCCTCAGCCCCTTCTCATCCCACCCCATCCCTCCCCATCCCTTCCTCATCCCCTCCCCTCTCCTTTGCATCCCGTCCCGTCCCGTCCCATCCCATCCCATCCCATCCCGTCCCGTCCCGTCCCGTCCCATCCCATCCCGTCCCGTCCCGTCCCGTCCCGTCCCGTCCCATCCCATCCCGTCCCGTCCCGTCCCGTCCCTTCCCGTCCCATCCCATCCCATCCCCTCCCATCCCGGTGCCTCCTTAGCGCCCCCTCCCAGCGGGGCACCCGCGCTCCCCCCTCCTCGCCGCCCCTGGTACGTTCCGCGGTCCGTCGCCCCCCGCGGTTGGTCCCTCCGGCGCGGTGCCTGCCGGGAGCTGTAGTCCGGGCGCGGTTGGACTCGCAGTCCCGGCGTGCCCCGCGCCGCCGCCGTGGGTGCGGGTCCCGGTGCGGGTCCCGGTGCCGCCCCCGGTGCCGCCGCTCTGCGCCCCCCGCGCCGCGGCCGCCATGGGCTCCCTGCTCAGCCGCCGCATCGCGGGCGTGGAGGACATCGACATCCAGGCCAACTCGGCCTATCGCTACCCGCCCAAGTCCGGTGAGGGCCGCGGGGGCCGGGGATGGGGGCCGGGGATGGGGGCCGGGCCGGGCCGGGCGGGACGGCCGCGGAAGGTGCTGCGGGAGCGGCTGTCACCGGCCGGGGATGGCTCTGGCTCCGGCTCTGACTCTGCCCCGGGCCCTGCGGGACCTCCCCGGCGGCGAGGCCGTGGATGGAGCTCCGTGGGCCGGAGCGGTGGGACGGGGCCGCGTGTGCCCGGTGCGGGTCGGTGTGAGGGGCGGGAGGGCCCCGTGCCCCCGACCCGGGGTCAGCAGTGCCCGTCCCTCTGCCTGTGCCCGCCCGGCGCAGCCCTGGGGTCCCCCGTGGTGCTGGGGCGTCACTGGGGGTGCACAAGGCTCTGCTCCCCACGCCGGGAATTCGCTGGGAATACGGCTGGAGCAGGTTGTCGGTCAGTGGCGAGCGGGGCGGCTGCTGCTGGTGAAGGGGAAGCGAACTCGATGGGGACACGGAACAAAACTGGGTCTGGTGGAATACAGGATGGCAAATTCCCGCATGACAACCCCCTTTAACTCCTTAGAATGGCAGTGGCTCTCACCTGGGAGAGACCTGGGATGACACGGCCTGGTGGGTGTCTGTTTTCCAAAGGGAATTGTCCTGAAAGCTTGGAGAGTTGTCAGTGCCACTGGTGGGCCCGTGACCCACCTTGTCTGGGGGTGGCTTTTGAAATTGGCCAGATTTAACTTGTTTGAAGAGTTTTACTTCTCACAAAATGAGTCATCAGTGAAATTCGGGTGCTTTTTCCCCTTGCAGTGTTTGTTTACTTATAAATTATTCTAAGTTTCTATTCTGCTAGGGCTTTACCAGGCAGGCTGGAGGATTTGCAGAGCAGCATTTTGGGTCCCCTCACTCACAGGTACAAAGACTTTTTGCTCAGAGGTTTGAGTCCTGCGTGTGTCCCACGACTTGCTGGCTGTGACATCCTCAGGGCCGTGTGATGGACACAGCCAGGACCCCTGCTTGCTTTGGAGGGGGTGCAGGGTCATCTCAGAGTCCTGCCATCGTTACACCTCGTTTTGTGGCAGGTTGCTGCCTGCAGCAGGAATAGTGGTGTCGAGGAGATGGAAGGGGGAAACCTGCCCAGAAAAAATCCTACAGCTGTGTTGTATCTCTTAGAAAATACAACCTGTTTTTTTAGGGGGTTGGGAACTAGTTTTTTGGGCTGCAGGGAAAGGCAAATGTCGTTTGGCTGTTTGGCTGCAGCAGGATCTTCATGTGACAGAATTTTAGATATGGAGTGGGTTAGTTATAACCACCATATGCAATGGACATTAAACTGCTTCTTTCACATCATCTTCCTGTTGTTTCTGTGCTGTTGTATTTACCTGGACTAGAAGTTAATGATATGTTGGGCTTGTCAGGGTAACCCCATCACACACCTGAGTTTGGGTTTTATGTTCCTGTGCATCCTGGAAGGGTTCTGTTGACTGTAATGCTGCCAAAAACTCTTCCACGTGTGATACCTCCCTTGTAACACGGAACAGCCAATGCTTTCAAGCAGCTGATTCAATAAAAATATTGGTATTTCATTCAAAGGCTCTGGATACAATTAGAGGCTTGTTAATTAATTCTCTGTGGCACTTAGTCATGCTCCCTCTGAAAGCTGGTGTTAAGCCAGGGCTTTCTCTCTCTTTGCCTTCTTCAGGTTTATCTAACAAGGATCCTCTTGACTTTGGGGAGGGAGAAGAGCTGTTCAAGCTCAGGATGGTTCTAGGCAGAGGAAGAGGTTGTGGACACTTCCGAGGTGGAGATTCAAAGCCCGGAACAGTGAGGGCTGTGAGGATGGCAGCTCCCCTCCCTTCCTCAGGAGGATACTGTCCCTTCTGGTCCTGAGTGTGTTTGTCTTGGAGCTGGAAAGGTTGGTTATGGCTGGTGCAAAGCCTGACAGTGAGGATGACTGGGAGTGAGCGAGTATGGTTCTGTTTGATTTTGGGAAGCAAGCTGGAAGTGGTACAAAATGTTCTCAGGCCAAATGGTTGCTAATGATTTCTAACTTGACACTGTCACTGTGAGCCCTGACTGGAAGAAGCCAGTTTTCCATTGCCTGGCACACACTCCTGGCTTCGAGATTACCTCTGGAAAGCTGGAAGGTGTGGTGAGAGAGCATTCCCTGAGGTCACCCATCCTCTGGAGCCCTGTGCATCACCGAGGGTTGTCCATCACCTTTCCCGTTCTGTCTCTCCAAGTCTCTGGTTTGAGCAGATCCTGACTTATCGTGAATGTCTGATCAGCTGCTGGGTGCAAACACACCCCCTCGCAAGAAGAACACGTTGTACAAGGAAATAAACCCTAAACACAGGTATTCTGGCTGTAATTCTGCCAACCTGCCTGTGGAAAGGAACACGGTGACTGTACCAGGTCGTTCCGAGTGACGGCACCTTGTTGAGTCACAGCTGGTGGCAAAGGCAGAGGTGAATATTCACTTCTCCTTTATTGACTTTTGATGTGGTTGTTGCCGGGTCAGTCACGTGCTCTGGGGAGGACTGAGCAGGTTGGTGTGGAATCCACTTTGGTCTGTATGAGCCAGAGGCCCCAGTGAGGCATCCGCAGGTCGTGTGACAGCTTTGTTGCAAGTTGTATACAGTTCTATAGTCAAAAATCCTCTGAAAATGCCCTTGCTTATTCCTCCAAGGCTCTGGGCGTGGATCATCAGCATTTTCCCTCTTGCATCAGGATGGCTGAGGCTGCTGTGGCCCTTCTCTGAGCCCTCTTTTCTGGTACCTTTTAACCAGAATTTCTTGCTTTGTGGAGCCTGTGCTGGCATTGTCCCTGCCTGACTATTTGGGAGAAGGGCTCAGTTTGTCCAGAAGAGTAAGTGCCTCCATGAAACGGGCTAAAAATGGGTAATTTTTTGCCCATTTAGCAAGGAACAGTCATGATCTCCATCGTGCTTCTGTGCTTGAGGCAGTGAAAGGATCCATGTTGGTGCATATGGTCTCACATGCCTTTAGAACCAGTGAGCAATGCACCAGTGCTTCCCACAGCTCCTTCAAGAGCTCCACCCCTGTTCCACTGAGCTCCTCTGCAGCGTGGAGCGGGACAAGGAGCACCTGCCCTTGGGATACCTCTTCTCCTCTGGAGTAAGCTCTTGGAAGAGTGCTCCCTGGAGATTTTTGGGAGGGGAAAAAGGAGATTACTCCTCTCTGAAGCTGAACTGGTGTGTTGTTTGGGAATGAGGCTTTAATCAAAGAAGGAGCGGTTTTAAATAGGAGAGGAGTACCCAGAGTCCATCACCTTGTTCCCGGCTCATGAACCGTGTGTGCTGTGACATTGTCACAACAGGAACACGTCCCTGTATTTCACACAGAGCTGTTGTTCCTCACTCTCTCCCCAGAGCATGTGGAGTAGTCTCTGCATTACTCCTGCTGTGTCCTGGAGCTGGTGACAGCCACCTCCACCTGCCACTGACCGGGACATTCCCTCCTGCCTTCTCCCCAGCTCCCCGTGAGCACCACACTGAAGTGGTGCTGGTCAATTGGCTCGTGGACCAGAGCCAGTTGATTTTGCTACAAGTTTGTTGCTGGATGATATTTATCTCAGCTCAGAGCCACGTTCCTGTTTGCTACGTGGTGGCTTTTGGTGGCCCAGCAGGGATGGGTGGTGGGGAAGGCGGGATGGCCTCATCCAGCCAGGATCTTGGTTCAGGCTGTGCCTGGGACTGTGCTGACAGTCCCTCCCTCGGCGTGCTGTGGTGGAGTGTCTGGCTGAGTAATTAAAAGGAACTCAATTTCTGTCACTTCACTGTTAATTGTATTCATGGTGAGAAGCCTAAATGGACATTAATTGCTTTCTCTTAATGAACGTTGTGCGATTCAGCCCGTGTTTTGCTGAGGTTACAGTTGTGCTGTTGACTCTGTGCTCCTGGTTCTTGTAGGGTGTTGTGTCCCTCCTGTATCACAGCCATGTGTTGAGGTTGCATGAACGTGGGATTAGGATGCTGGGTTAGGGAGAGGTAATTGTGACTGGAGCAGTCTGGTGCTTAATGCTGGTGCCTTTATGATAATAAAACCCCACCACTATGTTGTAAAAAATATTAACTATTTTGGTGTCATTTGATGGGCACCAAGGAGGAGCCTTGGGTTCCAGTTTGGTTTTGCATGGGACAAACTATTGAGTCGGACTTGGTCATTCTGGGTGTCCCAGTGCTGTTTTTCCAGCCACTGTAAAGTTTTCCACCATCATTTCTCTTAAAACCACTGCTTGGACCTCAGCAGTGTCACCCATTCCTGTTCTCTTTTATCTGATGCTCCCTTGTGTTCTGTCCTGATTTACTCTGGGGAACTAAAGCCACGGTTATTTTTTGCTCTGGCATTTTTATCCTATTCCATCCTTGTTTATTTATGTATGATTCTTCTCCTGGTAAGTGTGTCGCTGCATTTTCCTGGAGGATTTCTGTTTGTAGCAGTTCTGTGGAGGGTTAATCCGAGGATTTTTTGCTTTTCTTTTTTTCCTGCCGAAGAGGATGGCACTTTGCATCCCCCTTCTGCCCATAGCTACAGAGCTCTGTGTAAAGCTGGCCTTGCAACACCTGCCTAAGGTAGGTCAAGGTGGTTTTATAGGCTGGGGGGACATGTGAGAACAGGGTTCAAGAGGTGTGGCAGCCTGGCTAAAATCCTAAAGCTGTCTTTGTAATGGATTTGGAAATGGAACCTAGAGGTGGAGCTGCAGCAGGATTCTAATTCATAGAAAATACATACAAGCTTTTTAGAGACACTAAAAATCCTAAACGTGTGGATGTCTCAATGACTGGAAAAGAGGATGCCTCATATTTTCTGTCTCAAAATTTCCTTTTCCTTTTAGTTCTTGGTGTGATATTTACAGAAATGCTTCCTTAAAGCGTTTTGTCTTCAACTTGGGCAAACTGTGAGTTGTTTGTGACAGTGGTTGAGAGGATTAATGCATAACTTTGGACTTACCTTAAGAGCTCTGAACTTCATGTCTTGTTGTAGCAACTGGTTTCTGAGAGCTTGCAATAGAATATCTTTTTTTAGCTGCTGAAAACTGTGTTATAAATTTGTGGAGACAGTTTGCTGCCATTCTGGTCTGTTAGTCTGGCTGTTGAGACCTTGAGCTCGTGGCAGGTTTTGTGTTTTACAGCAGCCCTGGCAGAGCCCAGGGGTTGTTCTGCTCACCAGGAGCTCCTCAGAGTGATTTTCCCTGTGCTCTTTGTGGCTGGCACTGACTGCATTTCTTGTTTGCTTTTGAGGGAAGTGCCTCTGGGGAAAAAAAAAAATCCTTCACGTTGAAGGAGGTGACTTAGAAGATGAAAAGAGGTTCAGTCTGAACGTGGAACTGCAGCTGTGGTTTCCAGTTGCTGTGTTGGAGAGTGTATTTGTGAAAAATCCTAACAATTTGTTAGAGATCCCTAAAGTAGTTCTTAGTGGAAAAATGACTGTGTGGCAGGTGGCTTAAACATGCTAGTTTTGTGTCTGGATGTTGTTCCAGTTATACAGGAGAGACCTTTTCATCCCAAGGTGCTGGAGAGGCTGCCTGGAGATGCTCTGAAACCATATTCTGGGCTCAGCCCACAGCGTGGGCAACAGAGGAGGGTGAGATTCTGCCCCTCTGCCCTGCTCAGGTGAGACCCCACCTGCAGTGCTGCTCCAGCTCTGGGGTCCCAGCACAGGAAGGACATGGAGCTGTTGGAGTGAGTCCAGAGGAGGCACCAAGATGATCAGGGGGATGGAGCAGCTCTGCTGGGAGGAAAGGCTGGAAAATTGGAATTGTTCAGCCTGGAGAAGAGAAGGCTCCAGGGTGACCTAATTGAGGCCTTCCAGGACCTGAAGGGAACCTATGGGAAAGATGGAGAGGAACTTTTTGCAAGAGCCTGGAGTGACTGGACAAGGGGAATGGCTTCACACGGACAGAGAGTAGGTTTAGATTAGATATTTGGGAAAAAATTCTTCCCTGTGAGGGTTGGGAGGCCCTGGCACAGGTTGCCCAGAGAAGCTGTGGCTGCCCCTTGATCTCTGGAAGTGTCCAAGGCCAGGTTGGATGGGGCTTGGAGCAACCTGGGCTAGTGGAAGGTGTCCCTGCCCGTGGCAGGGGGTGGAACAAGATGAGCTTTAAGGTTCCTACCAACCCAGGCCCTCCTGTGATTCTGTGTTTCTGTCTCATTCACTGGATATGAGGGAGTTCTCCAAGTCTGATCCCAGATAACCAGCTGCTGTGGTACTGAGACATCCTGCACAAGCATTGTCCTCACAGTTAATCAAATAAAATGTTCCAAAACATAATGCTACTTGACCCACATAAAATGTGAAATCTATTCCTGACCCCCACCGTTCCTCATGCTCTTCAGAACCGGTGTGAGCATAAACCACTGTGGTGTATCTCAGCTGGAGAGGCTGTGTCGGGCTGGCTGTGCTTGGAGATTATATGCAGATCAGCTTTTTAATTTGTTGCTTCTGGGAGGGGTGGGAAAAGATTCCCTGTGATTTGAAACACCTGCATTTGTGTTCAAGGAGTGACCAGATGTGGCACTCAGTGCTCTGGTCTGGATGACAAGGCGGTGATCAGTCAAAGGTTGGACTCGATGATCCTTAGAAGTCTTTTCCAAGCTCAGTGATTCTGTGATTTTGTTATTCTGACTCTGTAGGTCTGATTCTAAGTGGGTTGTGGACCTGTGCTGAAGGTGATTGTTGTACTGGAAAGAAGGACGAGTTTCAGCACTACAAACATCTGGATGCTTGTAAGCTGAGCTCAGCAAAGCTGAGCACTGCTGTCCTCATTAAAGCCCTGCCATCTGTGCCGAGTAAGAAGAGCCTTTCTTGAAGCATAAAGGGAAAAAGCCTTAATGGAAAAAACAGAGCCATTCATGGAAACGCTTCCATTTCAGAGTAATCATGCTTGCTCCTGCCTAGAGGGACTGCAAATCCCCCCAGAGTGCCTCCACAGCCACTCAGATGATTAGTTACTGCTTCTGGAATGGCTCATTTGAGCACAAATTTATGCTGTCTGTGCACTGCACCCAGGGAAGTGAATGTACATGTGGCTCAGTTCTCTTATTCCCCGCTCTGAAACTTGAAGTGACTTGGATGCAGGCTTTTATTTTAGTTCTCTCCTGATACTCATGTCTCTGAAATTGTAACCCTGTGAAGTTCATGTTTGAGAGTGCTTTCCTGCAGTCTTTCTAGGAGGAAGCTGCGTTTGTGGTGCTCTCATGCACCTGAGTTGATTCTGTTGGCTTTGGAGTTAATCCAGTGCTCTGGAATCCCAGTGACCTTGCACACACTTCATCTCCTGAAATTTGAACCTTAGTGCATCACCTTAAAGATGAATGAAACGAATTTGTGGTGAAACTTTCAGAGCTGAGGTTCCCTTTAGTCAGTCCCTGTGTATCTCTTCCAGAAATTCATGTTTCTGCATTTAGAGCTGATAGTGTTATTAATTAAATTCAGCATCAAGGTGTGAAGGTTTTGTGTGGTTCTTGCCTGGGATATGGCAGTGAAAGAGGGGAGGGAAGGAGCCCCACTGGCTGTGCCAGGCTTTGCAGTGGGAAGAACCCTCATCCTTCTCTGAGCAGGTTGATGGTGTTTGTGGGACTGGGCTTTACACTGGAAAGTGGTGAAAACAGGAAGAATTCATCAGAATGGAGCAATATTGGAAAGAGCTGACTCTTACTGCTCCCTTTCCCTTCTCTGGAAAACAAGTTAAAATGGAATTATCTCCACTGTAATGATTTATTCCAGGTTTTTGGTTTGTTTTGTTTATTCCCCTGCTCCTACTGTTGGCAGTGGCCCTCAGTAGTACAGGGAAAGACTGAATTAGCAATTATTTTCTGTGTCTTGTGCTCTTTTATACTTGTGAATTAAAAACTGTACAGACTTATCTGGGAAGCGCCACTCATTTTAAGTTTCGGGTTTGTTTTTTTTTGTTTGTTTTGTTGTTGTTTTAATTTCCTTGTGTTTTGTTTTTTTCTAGGAAACTACTTTGCAAGTCACTTCTTTATGGGAGGTGAGAAGTTTGACACCCCTCACCCCGAGGGCTACCTTTTTGGTGAGAACATGGATCTGAACTTCCTTGGGAATAGACCTGTTCAGGCAAGTCCCTGTGTTCTGTTTTACTCTTCTGTTTCCTGCCTGTTTTGGAAAACCTTGTGTAGGGCTTGTAGAGGAGGATGGCACAGACCTAAGGGGGACCATGCTGCTTGGGGAGTGTCATTCCAGTCTGTTCAGATCCAAGCTGTGTTTTCCTAAGCAGTATTCACCTTCTAGGCTTATTTTCATTTAGGACAGAAGGAATTAGCAAGTGGGGGAAGAAGGACGAGGACTCAGGAGCACAGAATTTGGGACTAATTCTGCCTGCCTGCCTGAGCAAGTGTAAAACAGGCTGTAGAGGAGGCTGGGAAGCAGATCCACTCTCAGAGCCTGAACTTCCCAAAGCTCCTGGGCATATTGGATGGCTTGCAGCCAGTGTTCAGCATGTGCTGTTCTCTTTCTAAAGGGGCACAGGGCAGGGTTAAGACAAATCTTGATATTTGGTGGGTTTTAGTTTGCTTTGTAACCTCAGTGGGCAGCTCAGAAAGTCTCTCCTTCTCTCCTTTGGTTTTCCCAGGTGGAACACAGAGGTATTTCTGTGTCCACAGGTGTCTGTGAGACTGTGAAAAGCTGCTTGCTCAAGTGCTTGTTCTTGAACAAGGCATAGCATCATTGTGAGGGACAGATAGGAGTTCATGCAAGTGTTATGTTTTGGATTTCTCTTGCCCCTCAGAACTGCTTAAAAAGAACCAGAAGGTAACAGAGTAGGAGCAGTTTGGAGTTGTTTGCAGAGTGCTGGAGAGGAAAGGGAAAAGAGCTGCTTGCTTTACCAGCTGTTTCCCTAGTTGTTTCTGCAACTTGAAAACATGGAAATGAAAAGTTGAAGTTGTGGTTCTCCTCAGAAAAGCTGTGACCATTGTTTAGTTTATGTTTGTAGTGCTCGGAGGCAGTTTGGGGTCACCCTGGTTTTACAGGTGGGGGAAACTGAGGCAAGATGACTCAGAGGTTGAATTGGAACAGTGACAAGAACATTCTGCTTTCTGAGTTCCCCTTCAGGCTGTGCCATTGGTCTTCTCAGCACCACAGGCAGTTAACAGGACTCTGCAGGGCAGGACAAGGAAGAACCTGGAAAAGTCATCGTTCAAGCAGGAGGTGTAGTTGGGCAAGAGAATTAGGAAGGAGGGAAATTGAAGCTGGAAATTGTTTTGGATGTATCAGTGCCATGCAGGCCTGGGGGTGCTCACACATCCCCTGTGCACTGCCTGTGGCTGCAGGGACTGACCCTGCAGGGTTAAATTACCTGCATGTCTCAACGTGGGTTTCCTTGCTGACATCCCAGCACTGAATTTCATCACTTCTCCAGAGGGGAGTGTGTGAGATGCCATTAACACCATGGGATGTTTGCCAAGTAGGTTTAAGAGGAACCTGTTGTGGAATATAGTTTGCCTATGTAAAGTTAAAACCCTTTGGCAGCTCTGATTAATCTTCAAGAAAAAAACCCCACACTTGAACACAGAGCAGCAAAACTGTTTTCTGGACGTGGGCCCATTTTTTGCTTTGGAGTAAGGGAGGCCTTGCCTCCTCATTTTTAAAGAAACGTGTGTTGGTGGTCCCCGGGCCCCAGCAGGCAGGTCTGGAGCTGTACAGGTTGTGATCATCACAACAAGCAGTTCCTTTGCATTTCCCACCAGAGATTCTGTGCCCAGTAGGGAGAATTACAGTCTGAAGCAATAATGTCCCTATTTAAAGGACAATCTGTGAGAGAAGGTTTCTTGACTGTAGAATGGAAAGAGGCCCCCTATCCCTGTCTCTTTTCTTTTCCAGAACATTTGCCCCATTGTTTCAGAATAAAAAGAGTTTCCCCCAGTAATCCAGGGCTTCTCCATGCTGATTAGCAGTCAGATCACTGTTTGCATGCTGTAACACACATGAAAGAGCTGCATTTCTTCTGCTCAAGCTGCAGGTGGTTTCTTTAGTGGAAACAAAAGCTTGTGAGGGCAGTGCTTTCCTGACTGGGAATTCAGGGTGCAGAACAAGAGCTTGTGAAAATGTTCCTTCTTAAAATGTGTGCTCCCAATTACTGGGCCAGGGCAGAATTTTCATTCTGAAAAATGCTTGATTTATCTGTGTAGTGAGTTGACCCTGGCTGGATGCCAGGTACCCACTAAAGCTGCTCTCTCCCTCTGTCTCTGCAACTGGACAGAGGGGAGAGAAAAAAAATACAGCTAAGGATTCATGAGTAGAGGTAAGAGCTGGGAGAGGTCAGTGACTGATCACCTTCACGGGCAAAACAGACTCCAAGTGGGGATAGTACTTAAATTTATTCCTAACAGGATAAGAGCCAAAGAGTCTTAAGAACACCTTCCCCCCGCCCCTCCTTCCTTCCATGTTCTCCCTCCTCCCCCCCAGAGGTGCAGGGGATGGGGAATGGGGATTATGGTCAGTTGTTGTTTCTGCTGCTACTTAGAGAGAGGATTCCTTCCCCTGCTCCCATGGGACAGTCCTGGATGGACCTCTCTCCCGTGAGTCCATCCCTCGGGCAGCAGTTCTCCCAAACTCCATGGGGTCAGTCCCTCACGGATGAGCTGTACTGATGTGGGTCCCCCACAGGGGCCACGAGTCCTACCCGGGAAAAACCTGCTCCAGCCTGGGCTTCCCTCTCCATGGGCTGCAGGTCCCTGCCAGGACCCTGCTCCAGCCTGGGCTTCCCACAGGGTCACAGCCTCCTTCCTGCATCCACCTGCTCCAGCCTGGGCTCCCCCAGGGGCTGCAGGGGGGTCTCTGCACCCCGATGCTCCCCCATGGGCACAGGGGCACAGCTGCCCCACCCTGCTCTGCACCACAGGCCACAGGGGCTACAGCTCTGGTGCCTGGAGCACCTCCTGCCCTTCCTTCTGCACTGACCTTGGTGTCTACGTTGTCCTTCCCATGTTCTCGCTCTGCTCTTCCCTGGCTGGAATTCTTTCTGTGCAACAACCTTATGTTCTTAAATATGTTATCCCAGAGGTGTTACTGTTGCTCCTGACTGGCTCAGCCTTGGCCAGCAGCAGGAAATCCATCCTGTAGCCGGCTGGCATTGGCTCCATGGGACAGGGGAAGTTTCTAGCAGCTTCTAAGAGAAGCCACCCCTGTAGGCCCCCCCCTCCCAACTACCAAAACCCAGCCACAGAAAACCACTGCAATCTGTAAATAGAATTTGCTATTGCTATTCCTTCTGCTGTACCGAGTACCCTGAAAGCTGGACGCTTCTTGATTTGGGTAAATTGCATGCCAGGCAACATGCTGCTACCTTTTATAGTATAATAACAGGAGAATTATTTGCCTTTTTGTTCCAGTTTCCTTATGTAACTCCAGCTCCACATGAGCCAGTGAAGACGCTGAGGAGTTTGGTGAATATCCGCAAGGACTCGCTCCGACTTGTGAGGTACCAACATTGCCTGAACCTTTCACTTTGTTCAACCCAGAGCCAAAATGTATTGATAAGATTTTGGAGAATAGCTGATTTCCTGATCCTTGTTGCTAGATATGTCCAGAGGTTCCTGCATTCCGTTGTGATTGGAGCTTTCAAGTGGTTTATACGCTCCTTATCCAAACAATCTGTGTTTCCAAACAGGACCAGTGAGGTGTCTGTCTTTGCAGGACAGACTGGAGTGGTAAACAAAGCCCTGAAATCCGAACAGAAGATATTAGTCAGGTCAATAAACCTTACAGACAGATTACTTCCTGCATTCCTGTGCAAGAAGAAGACAGAAAGGAGCTGGTTCTGGAGCGAGCCACAGGCCAGGAAGATTGATTGGTCTAGAGTGAAACTTCCTCAGGTTTCTCCTGCTGCCAAGATAAAGTTTGGTCCCAGTGTTGTTTAGGTGGCTTGTGTCCCTTGCACAGGGGGAGGAGGTCTGGATAAGTCATGGAGATCTGTTACCTCTCACTGCTCCACACCGAGATCCAAACCAGCATAGCTGGATTAAACGCTGGCTCATGCTGGGATCTGCAGCTGCCCCCTTTCCAACAGATGGCTGAGGTGCAGGGCCCAGCACACAGTGCTTTGTTTGGGTCTGAGCACTGGGCACATGTCCAGGCAGAGCATTTCCCAACGATCCTGGAGTCGCACTGGATTGTGTGTTCCAGGCTCAGGGCTGGAGCTCTGGCAGGGCTCCAGCTGCAGCTCCCAGCCAAGGTGGCTCTGGGAGCGTGGATGTAACGTGAGCAGTTTGAGTCATAACCACACAAACCCCTCAGCTTGGTTTTATGTGAAAACTGAAGGATGGTTTTGTTTTGGTTTTTTGGGTTTGTTTGGTTGGGTTTTTTTGTTTGTTTGTTTGTTTTTAATGAGCAGAACCTGTAGTTCCAAAACTGATTGAACAGGAAAAGAGGGAAGAACTTCCAAAAAAGTAACCGTTGACAAACAGCTCTGAATGTTGTCTGGTTTTTCAGCTGAGGGGTGAAGTACTTCTCTAGGAAAAACTTGCTTTCCTCACACACTTGCAATGGAAAGGCTGTTTGGTTCTCCCTGCAGGCATCCACATTAGCAGTGTAACATCTCTCAGAAGCCAAATGGGAAGTGGCTTTTTCCCTGGGAGTGGCCTTGCTGTGAAAGGAGCAGTTGTTGAGGTTTATTACATGTACTCCTGCCATTCTGCTTTCTGTGGTCGCACGTCCCATTCTCCCAAGCAACTCTGGACTATTTGGAATGTAATGAACGTGCACCTTGACAGTGTCCAGGTTTGCATCCAATTCCTGGCACTATCAGTTCTTTTTCTGCCTCACAGGCTCTCACAGGCCCTTGTGCTGCTGCTGCTCTGTCAGTGCTGACAATGACACTGCCAGCATGACTCGATTTAATTTTGCACTGATGTAGACCCAAAATGGGATTTTAATTGCCAGTCCCCAAGGGTACATTCTGTCTTATGCTTTTCTCCTGTTCTGGGCTAGAGGCTTTTCCTTCCACTCTCTCTGCACATAAGGACACTTTGTGCCCTCTCCAGCTTGGCTTCTTCACAACCAGTGGTTGAGGTTTGCACATTCTTTCCAGAACTATTTAATTTACCACATCTTCCACCCAATAAAATGATGCTGAGCTGAATGTCCAGGTGTAAGGTAGGGTCTGATGGTAAAGTCCTCACAAGGTTTTGGTTTTCCATAGAATCCCAGCATGATTTGGGTTGAAAAGGACCTTAAAGATCATCCCATTCCAACTCCCTGCCATAGGCAGGGACACCTTCCACTATCCCAAGTTGCTCCAAGCCCCATCCAACCTGGCCTTGGACACTTCCAGGGCTGGGGCAGCCACAGCTTCTCTGGGCAACCTGTGCCAGGGCCTCACCACCCTCACAGGGAAGAATTTTTTCCTAATATCCCATCTAAACCTATTCTCTGTCAGTTTGAAGCCATTCCCCCTTGTCCTGGCACTCCAGACCCTTGTCCAAAGTCCCTCTCCAGCTCTCCTGGAGCCCCTTTAGGCACTGGAAGGGGCTCTAATGTCTCCCTGAAGCCTCCTCTTCTCTTCTCTTCTCCAGGTTGAACAACCCCAACTCTCTTGGCCTGTCCTCATAGGAGAGGTGCCATGGAGGAACATGGGGAAACGTTCACTCTGGACTTCCTGCCAAGCTCTGACCAGACAAAATTCCGAGCTTTGCCGAATCCTGAACATTTACAGTAGCTTTGGAGAGAAGCAGTAAACCTGTGGGTGTTGGTGTTGAAGTTCTGAGTCTTTGACATCTCATGTGTTTTCTGTCTTTGGAGAAGGGTAGTGGGAATTTTGCTGTTAAGCATTAACAGAGAAAGACTTCCTTGTGACTGTCTTGTGTCCCATGTTTAGCCTTAGATCAGAAGCTTTATTTCAGAGCTGCAGTACCTGAGGGACTGGTACTGGCTGTTCACTGTTTCCCTGGAAGCACTTCCAGTTTCAGGAGGAAGATCAACTCATTGCACAATGTGTTTTGTGGAAAAGTTGCGCTGTGGGGCAGCCTCTCTGCTTCAGTGTGGGCTCTGGGATTTGTATAGCATCATGGAACAAAAGTGTTGAAGGAATCAGCAGCTGTAGTGGTTTGGGAATGTGTCTGAAGCAGCAGGAACATCATGGAGAGTAATGAAACCACTGAGTGTGGCTTGAGAGGTGGCCAAGGGGAGACAGGTGAGCTGCTGTGAGAGAGAGAAAGGAAAGCCCTTCTCTTCCCTCTCCAGCAGAGCAGAGATAACATTGATCCTTGGAGCCATTCATCCCATGGTGGAGGTGAGGGGCTGGGACTGCCTGCTCTGCAGCCCTGGAGGGTGTTACAGTGGACAGAGCTCTGCAGAACCCCCAAATAGTAAAGCCTCAGTTTGATGATGATCTCCCCTGTGAAAGTCAGTGCTATAGGGGTGTCACTAACTCTCCCTTTATTTAATCCCTGCTCTAACACTGGGTGATGCAGATCTCACAGTACTAACTCAAGCAATACTTAATGTTTATCCTGCATGTCTACTAAGTTGTTGGCCAAACTTTTAATCTCCTCCAAGGATGGAATTGTGTTCGACTCAACGTAGTTCTAAAAAATTATCATGGCTGCTGTTAATGATATGTTTATGTTTTAATTCTCTAACAGACAAACAAAAAGTTCCAGCATTTCCATTGTTTTATCCAGGAGTGATGTCAGACCAGGTGGCCTCAGCTCCTTTGGTCATCCTGCTTTGCCTTTTCCATCAAAGCGTTGGATCAGCTCTTTGTTCCCAAAGGTGGTCAGTCTCTTTGCTCTGTACCCGTGATTGTGAAGGCTCTGTGATGCACCTCTGTGCATGACCCAAAGGCACACCCAGCAAAGTCACTGGTTCCTAACTGTGCATGCATCTGTGACCACCTCACATCAACACTGTCTGTAGGGCTTGGCCCAATGTCCACTGTAATCTTCAAGTGCAGGTGGAGACAGAAGAGCTCTTGAAGCACCTGAACCACTCCTGAGCCACCCCCACGTCCCTTGCAAAGAAAGAAGGAATGCAGAATGTGTGATTTTTGTCATGTTACTCCCCTGATGTTACATCCCATTATTCCTGCACCTTAAGGTGAGACATGAGATGTCTCTGCCTCTCAAAGTATGCACCAAAGTAGCCTTTGCTTGTTCCTTGAGCCAGTTACCAGCTGGCAGAGCTGCCTGTGCAGTCTTTTCTCACCTGAACTCCTTGTTCTGTGGCAGGTCATAGAATCCTAGAATGGTTTGGGTTGGGAAGGACCTTAAAACTCATCCCCTGCCATGGGCAGGGACACCTTCCACGAGCCCAGGTTGCTCCAAACCCCGTCCAACCTCACCTTGGACACTTCCAGGGATGGGGCAGCCACAGCTTCTCTGGACAACCTGTGCCAGGGCCTCCCCACCCTCACAGGGAAGAATTTTTTCCTAATATCCCATCTAAACCTATTCTATGTCAGTGTGAAGCCATTCCCCCTTGTCTTGTCATTACAGGCTCTTGTAAATAGTCTCTCTCCATCTTTTTCTGTGGGCTCCCTTCAGGTCCTGGAGGGCTGTGAATGATTTTCTTACCCTCCAGCACCAGGACGTTGGGTAGGAAGATACAAACACAGCCTTGCTGTGACTGTCACCATTTAGGGACGTGTGCCTTGTCCCCTGTTCCACTGATGCTGTTCCAGGCAGACAGGACTCGGACTCTCCGACTTCCCACGTATCCTCCAGGAACCTTCTCTCCAGGCACTGCAGTTGGTAGTGGCCCCTCAGTGGTTTCCCAGGGCAACAGATCTATCCTAGTCTGGGTTTAACCCTTTTTCTCCTTGGAAGGATGGAAGCACATTCTGAGTGCAGAGTTGGGATCAGGAGGGTGATCTGGGATGCTTTTTGTGACTTCCTGAGAAGATGAAACAGGCAGTGGTTGTACTAATGACATGTTGCTTCTGCCCCCACCCCAGGTCTCCCACCTTGTTACCTGGGGCTGTTACAGGTACCTTGGTCTGTGTAGTCCATCTGTAGCTCACACGTGTGCTGGGCATCTCTGTTTAAAACCTCCCTGTGCATGAGGTGGGTCTGTGAAGCACTTTCCTCAGTGCTTTCCTGCAAGGGCACTGGTTCTCCCTCCCTGCTTTTTCTGGAAGAAGTGGCAAGTCTGTCATAGCCTGGATCCTTCTCTGCCAACCTCAGATCAAGAGAGAGCAGCAAGAGATAACTCACAGAAACTTGTGCTGCTTTCTTGACACATACAACACGTGAGTGAATTGTTGCCATCTGTGTTCTTGGGTCAGTCCAGCACAAAATGTTGATACTCCTCTGTGTGTTTTCCAGGCAAACCTGCCCTGCTGCCCAGACTGTTTCTTCTTTACAGCCTTCAAGGGCCATGATTTCATTCTTTGAATGCAACCAGCTTGTGTGAAAATACCATTTTGCTCTGTACTGTGTATTTTGTCCAGGCTGCTGCAGGTGTTCAAACTCTCAATGTTGGGGATATGTCTTTTTTATACTGGCATGTTGGGTGTATTTAGCCTGATTTGCTGTTCTGACCTAGGTGAACCTCTGGCAAAAGTCTTGTTTGGAGCTCTCCAGGCCCTTCAGACAGGAATGCTGTGTGAGCTGCAGTGGTTCACTAGGGTTACATTAGTGCAAGTACATGTGTTGGGTATTTGATTATATCGCTCTTAAATTTTATTTTGCACCTTTTATGTTAAATTGCTGAAGCTGAACCTTTCATTCTTGTACTGTGTGGTGTTAAGTAAAATTCATGCTGGAACCCTCTTAATTAGGCAGCAGTTATTATATGTCAGTGAACTCAGCAAATAACGATTCCCTTGACAATTTTTAGATTGAATTATGGAGGTATGCCTGGCACATTTCTGAGTATTTTTGACAGTACAGCCTATTCATCCAGGCTCTTTGATGAGGGGAGAGTCTGACTGATACTGTGAAGTCAGAAATAGTGCCAAGCTTTTTCTGAATAGTTCAGCTGCTTGGCTTTGACCCAGGAATCGTGGCAATTAAGGTGCACTAATAAACAAGTGGAGCTGGAGCTGGGTGACGAATTGAGTGGTGTTAAACCTCTCAGAGTCAACCTGCTGCCTCCACCCTTCCCACACGGTGCCTGAGCTCACTGTGGTACCTGTGGTCCTGGGGTTACACTGGGATTTGAATGTATGTGTAAGAATGTGGTGCTGCCCTGCCAGTGAATCACATCCATTTGTATGTTGCTTTGCTTTTCAAGGCAGGGAGATTTTGATGCTTTTAGCTGGAGGAGGCTGAGGTCAGACCTCATTGGAGTCTGCAGCTCCTCCTGAGGGGCAGCAGAGGGGCAGCTCCAGTCTCTGCTCTGTGTGAGCAGAAACAGGACCCAAGGGACTGGCTGGAGCTGTGTCAGGGGAGGGTTAGGCTGGATCTCAGGAAAAAGTTCTTCACCAGAGGGTGGTTGGGCACTGAACAGGCTCCCCAGGGCAGTGGTCACGGCTCCAAGGCTGCCAGAGCTCAAGGAGTATTTGGACAATGCTCTCAGGGACAGTGTGGGATTGTTGGGTTGTCCTGTGCAGGGCCAGGAGTTGGACTTGTGATCCTTGTGGGTCCCTCCCAGCTCAGGTTATTCTGTCATTCTGTGATCTTCTCATGGTGTGTTGTGTTGGCTGTTTGTTCCAGGATCTCTGGTCTCCCTGGCCACTCCTGGCACACTGTAATTCACCACTGGCCTGTGGCCATAGCTCACTGCCCTGGATCTTGCTTCAAACCTCCTTCTTCACCAGCTTTGTGACCTGCCTTTTCCTGCAGCAGGGAGGAGTAACCCTGGGCAGTGCTGATCACACCATGGGGTCCAGTTTGCAGTAGCCCACAGCCAAGTCATGGCTCACTTTTGTGTTAATTGAAATAACTTCCAAACTCATTCTTGTATTGGTTATTGTGTGTCTGTTGTACAGTTGGATGGGTTAATTTTTGTTCAGACAGTAAATACTTGCAAGCTCCAGTCCTTCACAGCATCAGAGCTTTAGCTGATCATTTGTACATTTAAAGGTATTTGAAGTTCCTGTATTCAGATGCTTTCCAGGCTGAAAATCATCTTCTGTGTGATACTGCAGGTACCTTCTGTTGAGCTTCAGGAGTTCTTTGTGTTACAGAAACCTTGGTTTTTTGTCTGTCAGGCACTGTTTCATTTGCAGTGTTAAAAGAATTAGGTTTTAGATTTCTCATGCCCGTGCAGGACTTCTTTAGCCCAAATACTGAGCCTAATATGAAGACTTAAATGGAAGGAGAATGTTTCTTCTCAGGGTTTGACATCCAAGATTTCCCTTTCTTGTCTCATTCTGTGTCCTGGCACTGTAAGGCTGGGTGAGATCCCTCAATTGCTACAATTCAGTTACTTCAGTGAAATCTTGGAAGAACCTTCCTCAGGGGAAGGAATGGAGATCTCCTGGAAAGCCTGAGGTGGAAGCCCACGGTGCCTTGCCTGCCCCAAACACCTAGTCTGGAGTACTCTTGTCCTGACTTCCAGAGTGATCTTGGTGATATCTCATAAATGTTTATTCTAATCCTCTGGCACTGTCTTTCAGGTATAAAGATGATGTTGACAGTCCTACGGAGGAGAACGGGAAGCAGAAGGTCCTGTACAGCCTGGAGTTCACCTTTGATGCAGATGCCCGTGTTGCCATCACAATCTACTGCCAGGCCACAGAGGAGTTTGTGGGTGGCATGGCAGTGTAAGTCTTGGGCTTGTGGGCATGTGGAGGGGCACAGGAGCTCTGGTGAATGAGCTGTCAGACATTAGTCGCCCCTGAGGCTGTGCTGCCACAGATGGTGGGGAGGGAAATCTCCTCCTTTTCTGTTTGGTTTTATATATTCTGATAACTTATTACTTTCACTTCCCTCACATAGACAATACCTTGTCTCGTTCCCCTTTTGCTTTGGTTTTAGGGTGTAGGGAAAGTATTCTGTGTGCAGTAAAGGAGAGGAACTCATAACCGTGTGTTCTGTCAGCAGGATATTCTATGAAATTAAAAACAAACATCCCTTCCCTTCAAATACCACCTGTTTTTTTTCCCCAGATCACCTAATTCACTGTATTTCTGCATGTGGGCCACCAAAGTAAAGTTCAGTCTGACATTTACAGAGTGAGTCTGTAGAACTGAAGCCCTCTCAAAGCCCCTTTTGGGATAAATGGCCACCTCAACACGGGCTGTTGGGAAATGGGAGAGGATTTACTCCCTGAAACCCCGTGTTTCCTGCCAAGTACACCTTGGGTTAGCTGTGAAAAGAATGGTCAAAATGTCATCTGTGGGGTCTTTCTCATTTCCTGGTAGTACATCCCTACAGATTTTAAACCCTTTTAATCTAAATCAGCACATTTAAACCATTCCAGTCAACACCATATCCCATGAAAAACTTCCTCTCTATGTTAAGAGCAGAGGTGGCTGGATGTGCTCTGCCTGGTGTGAGTTGGGTACACGTGAGCTGCTGGTATGGAATGGCAGACTTCCAGTGGCCATGGGACAAGGGATTCCATTTGCTCCATGGGCAAGGGAAGGTTCAGGCTGGAGAAGCTCTTGGCTTCCTCTGGTAGAGGCTTTTGGCTGAGCAGCGGCTCTTGGACGTAGTGCTGATGGCTTCTGCAGTGATGCTCTGGAGCTGGGGCTGAACTTATCCTTGATTGAAGGGATCTGCAGAGGTTCCAGCAGGGAGAAATATGTATGGCAGGCCATAAAATGGCTTATATGTTTCATTCAAAGTATAAATATCCCACTAATGTTCAATGAATGTGTATTTTTAGAAATGAGACAAGCTGAATTCTCCAATTCACATATGCATTCCTTCAAACTGGAGGATATCCTGATCCAGAATGTTCCCTTCCCTTCTTCTGTTGAAGCCTATGGCTATCTGTTTTGGGGAGGTAATAAATGAGCTCCTTTTAAAGTGCTTGAAAAATATCTCTTGACAAATTCTGAAAACACTTTCTGTTTAGATCCAGCTTTTCCTGAGCAGAGCTGGATGCAGCAGGATGCCTTAGAAATCCTGATGAAGTTTCCATGTTCTGTCTCTTAGGTCCTTAGGTTTCCTGTGAATTTAGTGCTAGTGAAGGTGTTGGAATGGCAGCCTTGGAGATTGAAGTCCTCTTTTCCTAACACAGGTACAACGTGGAGAGGTGGCCAGTGTCCCTTGTGCTGCCCTGCAGTGCTCCTTGTTTTTTGATCTTAGAGGGAAACAGTCCATGGGCTAATGGGGAGAACTGAGGGTCTCTATGGCCAGGGTGGATGTATTTACATTGCCAGACTTCAGCCACGGCTCAAATCAGCAAGGCTTGGCTTAAATCATTGATTTTAATCTTGTTTTGCATATTCAGCTGTTGGTTCACCTCGAAGGAGAATTTGTCACTGGTCATTAGCAATGAAACATCTGCATTTACAGCTCGGTGTCAGCTTCATGTCAAACCTTGTGCTACATTTTTTGTGCTACAGAATATCCATGTAGTTTAAAATCTATTTTTTTCAGGCTTATACTTTTCCATTTTACGTCAAAATGGCAAAACCCCAAAGTTATTCTGAAAAGAAACATCTTTTATTCTTTTTTAACCTGTGTCTTGAACCAGGCAGTGTTGGGCTGGAATTGCAGCTGAATCACCCAAGACCAGCAGTTTTTACTCTTGTTGGTTAAACTGCTCGTGCTGGACTCTTAAGAGACTGTCTTGTCAAGTTGTGCCTTGGATAATAATTGCTTAATGGAAGTATTTTAGTTACCAAATATAACTGTTTCTGAACAGAGTGTGTTTTCAGTCCTCTGTAGTAGCTGTCCCCTCAGAACTTGGTTGGTTGGTTGGAGGGAGAAAACACAGTTTCTGGTTCACTTAAGAACACGTTTTCCTGAAATTTAGTGCCGTGCACTGAGCCAGTGACTGTCACCAGTCTGTTCTTTAAAGCTTGTGCAGCAAACATGAGCTACCCAATGGCTTTTAAATGAAATTTGGACAATTCCTAGGTAGAGTTTCTGAAAGGTAACACATCTGTCAACTTCAAAGAATTTTTTTTAAGTACGAATTGTTAATCCACCCTGTCCATGGTTCACTGAGAGAGGGAGCTCTGTTAGATGGCAGAGGAGAAGCCTGTGTTAATGAGCCCTCTGCATGAAACCAGGATCAGCAGTCATTTCCCCACTAACAGTGTGGGGCTGATGGTTCTGTGCTGCCCTGCTGGGGTGGCAGCAGCCCCTGGTGCACTAAACCTTCTCAAAAGCCAAAGCACCCAGACTCAGCTCTTGCTTCCACTGCTGGCCCTTTGTTTATTAAATCATACTTTCATTTCCCCATAGTACAGGAGTGATGAACTGTCTGTCTCTGCTCTGGAGTTCTCAGACAATAAATGTTACACAAGTGTGGGGTGCAGAAGCCAGGGAACCTTTTGGAAGGCATGATCCTGATTTCATGCAGATGTGTAGGTAATAAGGGCTGGGGGAAGTGAGATACAAATATAGACTTTATAAGCTGCTTTAATTCAACCCAGGCTATTTTCCCATGTGGAAGTGGCTCCTGAAGCACGTCTTGGGGCTAGTGCAGCTGCCCAATAGGCATCTCTGCTTCTCTGGATTTGCTGGCTGCTAGTAAAAACCTTTTGAAGCTCTGATTTCAGCTTTGCAAAGCAATTCTGTAAGGGCAGTGCTATAATTACTTTGATTTACTCTTTTCAAATTCTGGTGGAAAAAAAAAAATCCGGGCTGCATTCTTAGAGCTCTGAGTGGAGCGAGTGCATTTTCAGTGCACTAACAGGAATGCAGCTTTCCCTGCCTGGGCTGGTAGATCTTCCTTTTCCTCAATTTCTTTTGGTGCTACGTTCAAGGAACAGGCATGTGCAAAAGCTGTACTGCGTATAAATTCGAAACTTTTTCTATTGCACTTGATTGGGATGAAGATGCTCTTTAAAACAAAGTACTTTTTTTTTTTTTCCACTCTCCTAAATCGATGCTAAATCCTAAAATGGGAGAAACTTTCTGGACCCTTGTGAAAAGCAGGAATTTTCTCCCATCCTGCAGCATGGCTCCTTAGAAGTGCTAAACAAGTTATTCCTGCTTCTCTGCTGGAACAACCACTGATCCTGATAGTATCAGCGATCCTTCCTTAAAAACTCCTGCTAGGAACGTGTCATGCAGTTTGGGGGGAGAGGAGGGAGGGGAGGTGGCTCTCCCTGAGCAGAGGCTTTGCTTGCGTGGAGCTTCTGCTCACCTGAGAGCCACAATGCTGTGCCTTTGGGATTAGCTGGTGTCCGTGGCCAAAGGGAATCCTTTCTGCAAGCCAGGGAGCTTCCTCCTGGAGTTATTTGGGCTCTGTTTAAAAGCTGGTGGCTTTATCAGTCCGTGCTGCCTGTGCTAACCTGTCCCAGAGGAGTGTCCAGCAGACTTTCCCAGGTAACTTTGCTCCACTCTGCTGTTTCCCAGCCGAACACGTAGCTCCCAAGGGCTGCTGCCTCTAGTCCTGAACTGTTGAACTCTGAGTTTCACAGGGAGCTGTGTCATCACTTCTGTGGGACCACAGGTGACCAGTAGAGTCTGATGAAGATGAATGTGTGGTGTTGGTGATCATAGAGGTGTGTTCACCTCTCCAGCCCTGTGCCCAGGGGGAGGTCCCCTGCACTTTCGGGTGCTAGTGCAGGTATCTGTAAAAGCCTCTTGGGTGAAATGGGAATTTGTTTATATGTGGAGGGGACTGCTGCTCTCACCTTTAAAATATCTTTTACTTGATTCCTTTGTGGTCAGAATTTAAAGAGTAAAACACGAGTTCTCAGAGGACCAGCTGGTTCATCACCCCAAGGATAACAGAGATCTACCTATGTCCAGAGTCCCTTTAATGGCATGGAATTTCACTGACCTGCCTCTGAACAGCTCAAGGCCCTCGATACCTTCAGTTTTATTTATTTTTCCAATTGTGTCCATTTTCTTTGGGTTTGGGATTTGGTAAAAACATGGAGGTGTGTGAACTGTACACTGACTACTCACTAGTGATTGCCCCAAGTATGTGATTTCTTTCCAGAGGAGAGGGGACTCTGCATTGCATTTCCATTGCAGGGCTTGTAGAGAATAATCAAAGGACTCCCAGTTCATAGCCTGCCTTCTGCAGTACCTGGTTCATGTGCTCATACCCCGAGATGTGTTTGGGTTAGGAGACAAGTGTGTTTTTGGAGCAGGCTCAGAGATGTTCGTATTTTCTTTCTGTAAGTGCTCTGTGAACGCATCCCTTCCTTCTCTGGCAAAAGCCTTGATGTGCACACTGTTAGCCTGTTCCTGGGAGGGCCCCTGGGACTCTTCCAGCTGCAGGTATCCTGCTGACTGGCAGGAAAGATTGCGTAGTTCAAACATGACAGCAGCGGTTGTTTCCTCGGGGGAAGAAGTCAAACCAACCCTTGTAGCTGGAAGCACTTAAAAGAGCCAGTTCTAAAGGCATGAGCAATCCAGGCAGATCAGCAGCTCATGATAAATATGACGTGAGAGGTTTGAGTCTTGCAGCCCATTCTTCTGAAAAAGATCTTCCTTTTTGGACAGAAAAGGTTCTCTCCCGTATCCCAGTAATGTTGCCAAGCTCTATTTTCTTGTTATGAAGAGAAAACAGAATGAAAATAGGTCGGTCCAGCTCTGCAATCCCTGCCCTTTTCAGGGCTGTGCTGTTTGTGATGCTGATGGGCAAATGGATATATTAAAAAAAGAAATCCTATTTCCTTGTTTGTGTTGCAGTGCCCACTACACTCATCCCAAACATCCTCCCACGATCACTGCAGTGCACGGACACTGCAATGATTCCCTCTTCTGCGTGTGGAAGTTTGAAGAGCTGGGTCACAAAATGAAATCCAGCTCAGTGCAAGGCTGTTTTGATTCAGACTTGCGTAGGAGACACAGAGGGACTCAGATATTCCTTTGGTTATTTAATAGCCTCTGTCTGTTCAGGGCCTTTGAAAGGTGCTCGTGCTGCTTTTGGCCGTGGGCTGTGGTGATTAATACGAATTCTTTGTGAAGAGATTTCTTCCGTGTGGAGAAGTCAGAGGCGAGTGCTGGTTTTTTTGTGCTCGTCACAAGCCTTTACAGCTTTGATCCAGGCCCACACCAGTCCCCAAGGGAACACTGTGGTGTGCAAAGTTCACGGGCTGGAGAGCCAAATTCTATAGATTTCACGGAGCAGACAAACGCTCTGCCAGTAATAGGAGTTGTGGCCTTCGTGCCTTTCTGTGTACTGTTGTGTGAGCTTTGAAGTGTTGTGCTCCCAGCAGCTCAGGGCAGAGCTCTGCAGGGGCTGGAGTGGGGTATGGGCAGAAGGGTTTCAGCTGCATGGGGAGGTGTTTGGTTTTTCCTGGCTCAGAGCGGAAACTCAGTCCTGGAGGAAGCAGGAGGGGAGGAGAAGGCTGCCAGGGACTGCAGTGTAGCATCTTAGCACCTGGTTAACCTCCAGACTCCTTGTGAGAGCCTCTCTGGGGTGGATCTTGTCTGACTCTGACTGAGACCCAGGGCTATGGCCTTCTTGTAGTTTGGTAGTATTTCTTTTATCAATAAAAATCACTTTGAGTTGAGACATTTGTTCAACTTCTTTTTCTCCAAAAGCAACCTGTGAGATCCTGGCCCAAAATGAAAGGGAAGTGAGCAGGTGGGAGAGAGAGGAGGGTGAGTGTGCTTGTTCCTCATCAACTCCTGGCCCCTTAGAACACCAGCAGAACATGACTGGCTCATACCTCACCACCTGTAAGAGGACATGGAGCCTGACAGGCAGTGGAAGTGGCAATGGAAGAATTGGTTCCTGAGTACCCTCTTAGGCTCTCATGTAACCCTGCCTTGTCTTCTCTTCACTGGAAATTGCCATGGAATGTGCAGAGCTGCTGCTAAAGAGGGAGGACTCTTCTTTTGTCCACAGGCTCTTCAAAGCACAGACTCCCTCAGATGTTTCTAGTCAGAAGTGTTACCTTGAGGCAGCATTGCTCCATACATCCTGCTTTCCCTGAGGAGCAGAGCCTGGACAGTGCTCTGTGCAACTCAGGCTTGCAGGCTGGCAAGGATCCTCATGTGGTGCTTCTCATTGAGGTCCTGGTGTGCCTGTGAGAGCAGGAACTGCCCTTTGACTGCCCAAGGCAGCCCCAGTGCCAGGCAGAGCTGAGCATGAGGAGCACAGCAGTGAGGGGTCTGGACCAGTGCCCTGCTGAGAACTTCCCCAGGTGCTGATCAAGGATGAGGGAGAGGGTGAAACCCCCCTCCAAATTCATGTTGGGTCTCTGGTGAGCATGTAGCAACAGAAGTTTAACTCTGTTTAGCCAGAGGTTTCCAAACTGTAACAAGGCTTGGGAGCTACTGAGGGTCTGCAGGTCTGGACTGGACACAGGGAGAAGCCACAGGCTGAGTGTCTCTGTGCAGGCAGTGAATGCTGCTCAGCTGGTGCTGGAGGAGAGAGGCTGAGGAGTAATTTTAGTTTGTTCCTGTTCTCTCAAAAATCACTGGGGTGTGGTCACAGGGCCTCTCATCTGCTGCTTCTCTGATACACAGCTGGTTTTGGGGGTGGAAGGGTTTGACATGGGGGAGGAAGGAGTCAGTGCAGAGTGTAAACTCTGCTTTGTGTGTGTCACACAGCTCGCAGGAGGAGATGGGCTGCATGAGCCCTGAAGACAGAGCTGGGGGCTGCTGCTGCAGTCAGCACATGTACCTTGTGTTGCTGGTGGTTCTCGTGCTGTCAGGGGTACCTGAACAAACAAACAGGTTTAAAATACTGTGACTGAGGATTTTTGTTTGGTCCTGACCTAATAGGACAGATCCCACTCACTTCTCCACTGCCCTGACCTTCCAGTGATCCCAAGGGGTTTTTTTTTGGAAGTCTCTCTGGATGGAGGCCTGGCCCAATGCAGTCTGAGCAATAGCAGCTCAGACATTCAGCTTTCTCAGTCTTTATGCAGGGAGAGGCAGTGTGTTACTCCTCTGCTGTCCTTTATTCTTTAATACATGCTTTCTTTTTCTGTAACACTTCTGCAGAGCTTCTCTGCTACTGTTTGCTGTGAGCCCCCAGCAGATCAGGTATGGAATAGAAGATTATAAAAACAGCAGATGCCAACCAAAGGGGCTGGGGATGGGCAGATGCCACTTAGACCCTGCTGTGCAGGACACTTGCTTTGTAACAGCTTGCCAGGTTGTCCTCCTGTGCAGCACAGGGAGTGTGTGCTTGTGCATGGAACCTGTGCATCACCTTGGAAAGCTGATCGATCTCTGGGACAGTCTGGGCTCACCAGACTTCCAGGGAATTCACCAGCCCACTGGTGCTCAGCAGCCTCAGCTCTGGTTGCTGACTGGAGGTGTCCAGAGTTGTCTCGGGGTGTTCAGATCAAGTCTGATGTGTGTTAGGCAGTCACACAGTCCAAGGCATAAAGCTCACTTGGTTCACTTGGGGAGGCCTCCTTAATAACTTGGTCATACTCTTGAGCTCAGAAGATCTGTGTGCCTGGTTTCCTCTTCCCAGGGATAGTGAGAGCAGCAAATCAATGTGAGTATTGTTATTCCCTGTCCTCCTTGGAATAGTGTTATTTGTTTTCCTGTTGTAGACTGGTTTGGGCTTCTAGTGCTGTAAGTGCAGGTCCTCCAGCCTTCCTGGCACTCAGCAGTAGCTTCTTTACACCCCTTTCCCAGCTCCACTCTCTCCTCTGCACTTTATTTCCAGTAAGCTCCTGACTTGCTGTCACTTCAGATAAGTCACTTTTCCATCCTCTGCTTTCCCAGCTGTGGAGGGAGAATTGTGCCTCTCTGCAGAGCTGAGGAGCTTTGAGAGTGCCACAAAAGGAGCCAGATACAGGCTTGCTCTATTCATTGTGCTTGACAACTCAGTAAATAAAACTTCACTCAATTGCTCGCTCTGTAATTCACATATAAAAGACCTGTCATTCTGATCTCTCCCACACCATGCTTGAAATGCAAAGGATGGAGTGAGACCTTCTAGTAAAGCAGCATAATTTCAGCACAGTACAAAATGGGCTTTGAGGGTGTTGTCATAAATAACATAATGCACCTGCCTTGGCAGGAAGAGCAGAGTGCACATGTTGAACCTGCCCTTTGTCACGGCCTTCCAGAATTTAACGTTGGTCTTGTGACACTTGATAAGCCTTCTGGACCCTCAAGAGGGTACAGGAACTATTCTGGCTTTCCAGAGAAAGGCAGCAGTTCATGCCAGTGGGGAGCCTGGCTTTTCCTCCTCGAGTTTGAGAGGAATTAATAAATATTCATCATCTCCTGGTATCCAGGTTCTTACACTTTCAGCTTGAAAATGCATCCCAATCACTGTGCTGTGCGTCTCGTCACCGTGCTGAGGGAGCCTGTTGTTGCAGTGTAAGTCTCCTGGGCAAGGGATCTCTCACATTCACTCTGGTTTGCAAACGTGCTCTGAGCACACAGTTGGTAGTTGGACAAAAAAGGCTTTGGTGGTAAAACCAGCTTCAGATGTTCCCACCCTGCTTTGGGGTTCGCTGCCTCCTCTCCTGTGCCAGAAGTGGCACAGAGAGAGGTTGTGCACATCCAGCTCAGGCATCACCCTCTGGACAGGGGTATCGGGCAAGGAGACATCTCTCTTGGGGCAGAAAGCACCAGATGGGTTCTGGATGCAGAAGATGGTGGATGGTAGCTGTGGTCCCGTTCCAGATGTTCATCCCAGCCTTGAGGCAGTGGAAGAATCGTGGCTCCTGTCTGTGTGGCCTGCGTGCAGGATGGTTGGTGTCTCTCACATGGCATTGGTAGCCCTGCAGCACCTTGGGGAAGCACATGAGGAACAGAGGGGTGGATTGCAATGGCTCTTGCTTACCAGGATGGTGGAGCCAAGCAGCATTTTCCACTGCAGAGCTATCCCACAAGGCACGGGAGAGCTGCTGGGTTGTGTGTTAGGTCACTGCTGGTTCTTCCTGGGTTTCCTGCAGAAAATAGGACTATGCTGGGCTGAAAGCCAGGCCCTGGATTTAGGGAGCTAGCCTTTGCCAAGCTGCTGCACCCCACTGTACTCCTGACACCTAGTGTTTCCAGGCAGGTCAGTATGGACACGATCAGACCTTGCCTGTCTGCGCTGCTTTCCCTTCCCTGTGCTCACCTTCTCGCTTTGACCTTTCCCTTCCCTCTTTGTGTCCCCACTGAATGGCTGCCAGCCCCTCTCCCAGCTCTGCCCTTAGAGCTGCCACTCTGATTCCTGAAAGGCAGAGTGAGTGAGAGCCTGGCAGAGAGCAGTCATTTGTTACAGCAAGTTTTCTTTTCCCCCTTTTCTTCAGATACAGCACAAAGAATCCCTCTCTGCAGTCGGAGACGGTTCATTACAAGAGAGGGGTAAGCCAGCAATTCTCCCTGCCTTCCTTCAAGATTGATTTCTCAGAGTGGAAGGATGATGAGGTAAGTCTCTTCTCAGTGTCCCCTTCTTTCCACACCCCTGTTGTCCCAGAAGCACTGGTCTCCATTTAGTGCCATGAAGTTATGGCTGGAAGACACTCTCCCAGCTGCCACAGTGTGTTTTGTGGGTACTTGGGAACTTGGCAGGTAGATCAGGCCAACAGGGAGGAAACTTCTGATATCACTGATCAGCTGGTTTAGGAGAGAGGCAGCAGAGATTGGCACTGGAGCTTTTCCTGGAGGAACCTGCCACTCCTCAGCCTTCCTCTCCCTGCCAGCCAAAGAGCTTGTGGGAACAAATATTTGTTTCAATCTCTCTGTTTTGGTGGGTTTTAGGTCTAAGATTTTGGGTTTTTTGGCTGGTCCTCTAGAACAATGTTCTCCAAAGTGAGGTGCATACAAAGCAATTCACTGGGGTGCAGGAAGAACTTCAGTAATACATGTATATATCTCATAAATTATAAACACACATATATTGGGAATATGTGCTCATGGTGGGATGAATGATCAGAGTAGTTTGGAGTACACTGCTCTGGTGCTGTTTAAGGGCTACATCCTGCACTATTAACTGCAGCAGTACAGTGCTGTGAGGGGATATTCTCCTCCTGGGGCAGATTCACACTGGTGCATCAGTGCTGAATAAAGGAATAGTGTCCTCCTCTTAGTTTAACCCATAACTGCAAACAGACAAGGGCTTTGGTTTTAATTAAGCTCTGCAGCTATTCCTACATAGCAAAATTTGGGAGTGGTGTTAATTTTGGTATCTTTGGTATCTTTGCAAAATTCCAAGCCAGGCAGTAAGTTTCTGCTTCTTGCTTTCCCTTGTGTTGGTTTAAAGGTAAACCAGCAGGGGAAATGAACTCAACTCAAAGGAGAGATTATAAGTCAGAATAACAATTTAATAAAATAATACAATAAGTACGATTATACAGACAAACAATTGGTTTTAACCCACAAAACCCAAACACATAACCCAGCACCCTGGGGCATGAACAGAGTGGTGTTTTTTGGGGCCCCTGAGTCCAAAGTAAAAGGAGAGGGGAAAACCTGTTGGTGAGAGTGCTGGTGCAGTCTGGTCAAGGGTGGTGATTGCAGTCCAGTCAAGAGTGATGGTTGCAGTCTGGTTGAAAAGTGGTGGTCTCACTCTGGTTGAGAGTGGTGATCTGCAGTCTTCCTCTGGATCCCACAAGTGGTTAAAAAAGTTCCACGACTCCAAGATTATATATCCTCCAGTTCAGGCAGGAATGCCCAGCACTTCCCTCAGGGCAGGGAGCTCCACAAAGGATGTGAGGATAAGAGCATCCTCCTGTCTCACAGGCCTCTTAACACCCAGTTTATAGCCTGAGGAGTCAGGCTCTATGGGCAGATGGTGTAAATGGTTCATTGATAACAGTTTCTGGGAAATGGCATGGAAGGCTATAGAATACACAGTTTTGGGTTACACCCATACAATGATGAACTGGTCCCAGATGTTCTAACTAGGACACCCCTGCATGTGACCAGAGCAGGAAGGCCTTGGGCTTTCCCCTGCTCTGTGCAGAATTGTCATTAGAGATTTCTAAAGCAGAGGAGTTGGTCTGTAGCTGCTGATAATATATTTGTTCCTGTGGACCCCTCTCCCAGGAAATCAACACTGACAGAGTGTTCAACTCCTGACCCAGACCTGTGCAAGAGTATCGTGTGTGTGAACCCTGGTAGATAACTACCTATTTAAAAGAAAAATTAAAAAAAAAAAAAAAAAGGAAAAAGTGATCTTTCATGTATTTTGAAAGCTTGAATAGCTATTGTCTTGAAGTTACAGCTATAACTATAATCAGTCCCGTGCCTTAAAAAATGCTGTGGTGGTTACCAAGAGCCTGCGGAGTCTGGTCTCCTGATGTCTTGGCTTCTCTGCCAATAGATGATTTCACAAGTTCAGCCTACAAAAGCCTGGAAGAGCTGCTTTTCAATCCCTTCTGTTGTCTGAGAGAGCTGGAAAGCAGGAGCTCAGATCCCTTTCTTCTTAAAGAATTGTGGAGCTTAATTTTCACTTTTGTTCCTGTCAGCAAGGTTTTAACTCAAGTACTAAAGTCATGTCCCTTTGACAGCTTAAAGGAAAAGATGCTGTAGAAAAATGAGCTTCCAGCTTCCTTTGCTTGTTCTGCTGCATCCTCCTATTTCTCTTTTTTCATTGGTGTTACTGGAGCTGGAGAAAATGTGGAATGAGCACTATAATTTGGAAGTGTTTCTCCTCCCATTTCAGCCCTCTGTACATATCAGTCTTGGTACTAAAACTTCTTAACTGGCCACCAAAATGCAGCCCTTTTATCTGGGAGAGCTGACAGTGTGTACACTCAGCTGTGCACAGTTGCACATTTCAGATTTCTTTCCAGCTTTGTCCAAAAACCCCAGATTTGCTTCATATTTTTGCTCAGTGCAATACTCGGATATGACGTGGTTCTTGGCTGGCCCACAGAAAGGACAGTAATGTTATGTTGGGTTGTTCTGTGGAAAGCTCTATAAAAGTTTGCTTTGTCTTCCCAATACACTGGTTTGCTTGGAAGTTACAGAGTATGGCTTGTGTTGAGCCAGTTGTGCTCAGGGCCATAAAAATTAACGTGAAATGGTCCCTTAAAGAGGCCTTTTGTTTGAGAAATCCAAAGTTTATAAGGTAAAGCAACCTCAGTTCTGTGATGTGACTTTTCCTTCAAACGGCCAAAGAACAATTTCTGTCATGCAGTAATAAATCAGAGCAGGAAGCAAAGCAAAACCATAAGCTCTTTCAGCTATTTTAATCCATTGTCCTCAATGAATTTTTCCTCTGTGCCGTGCCAGAACAGTTCAAAAATGCAAGCTGGAAAATAGTGGCTCAAGGAGTCTGTTCTGTAACAAACACTGAGAGGTTAAATGAGATTTTTGTGTTTGCTCTGTTACTCTGCTGTTTTGGAAAGAGAATAGATTTGGGTAGTTAAAGGAGTAGTAAAATATAAAACCATCATACAGAGGATGAAAATCGACATTCCTCAAGGTTTGAAGGTTTGGTCACATCATAAGGGTCTTCCAGCACATGCTTTCTCTTTGGAATCCTCACACCTCCCGTGGGAGCTCTTGGCAGAGGCACAGCCACGTGGCTCATGGGCTGTGGGACACCTGGCTGGTGGCTGACCAGGTATCCCAGTGTACAGGTGTCACTCCTTTCAGGATGAACATTTAGGTTGTAATTCATTTTCAACTATTAGGCTCGCACTGAGGGTCACCTTCCCTGCAGTCTGGGTGGTTTGGGTGGCCATTTGTGCCGGTGGCTGCCTTGATAATTAACCTTTTGAGGGACCAGCTGGAGCAAGTCACGCTGCAAATGATGTTGGGGCTGCAGGAAACTTAGGGGAGCCCCAAAGCACTACCTGGATGGTGCTGCAGCACTTGGAATTGGGTCTCAGTTTTCATGGGAAAACTGAAAACAGACTACCTGGAGCACCATGGTGAAATGACATCTTTTTTTTTTTTTTAGTCTTGGCAAGAGATGAGACAAAAATCTCCAAGTCAGTAATTAAAAAACCCACCAGAAATCCAGTCTCTGAGCCACTTCCGTTCCTGGCATAGGACAGTGTCTGTAAGGTTGCCTTTTCCTTGTGTTTCTAAGATGACACAGAGCTTTTGAAGTGCTTTAATGAAGTGCAGGGCAAAGGGAGAAGTTGAGTCTGTTTTCCTTGCACTCAAGTGAGATCTTAAATTTTCACTCTCGCCCATTAGAAGGTCAAGGACCTGAATTTCATAACATGCCAAGAGATGGAAATCAGTCTGGTGTTTCCTTAAGGTGTTATGTGAACTTGAAGGTTGACAGATTTTTCTCTTCAGGAACTTCATACAAGAGTCAGGGTCTGTTCTGTGGTGTTGGGAGCACAATGTACTGCTGTGCTAAAGCCTCACCTGTCCTGCCATACACAGGCAAAATTGTGGCATTAGATATATTCCAACAAACTTGTCCTACTACAAATCACTCAGGAGACTTCTGGGATATGTGGATTAGTGAGAATTAGATACCATTTGAGACCAGGGGCTGGGAGCCTGTCAGAAGGGACCTTCATTCCCTGATGTTACATGATCTCAAGTGTTGTCTTCACCAAGCCTGGTGTGTCTTGTGTAACCTCAGCTCATTTCTGTCCCCCCCCAGCTGAACTTTGACTTGGATCGTGGTGTGTTCCCTGTGGTCATCCGAGCAGTGGTGGATGAAGGGGATGGTAAGCACGGTGCTCTGCTCCCTTGGAATTCTCCTGTCTCCCTCTGAGCTTATGTGGCTCCTTGGAGAGCCTTTCCAGAATAAAAATATTTCAGGAGCTCGCCTTAACTTCCCTTTATTAAAAGGGCCTGGCTAACCATGAGTTCTTGCATGAAAACATACTTCTAAAATTAGCCTGCATTTTTAACAGGAAAAATGGCCAGGTGTTTAGTGTTGGAGGGGTGTTTAGGAGAGCTCCTGGCTCTGCCACCAGTGCCAGGCACAAATTGGAGCAAATTACTTCTTTATTGTTTCGTTTTTACTTTTGCAGTTTGTAAGAGAAGGAGGGAGGGAGTATTTTCTCCCTCGTTGAGGGGTAAGATGTTCTCATAAAAACCTAGAAATGGGCAGAGAAAAGGAAATGGCTTTAAAATGCTCAGGCCACTCTTCAACCAAATGTAGTTTCATTCAGCAGTTTGAAATTCTCCTGTTTTTTTCCGAGGGTGATAAATGGTTGCAATAAAAGAGGAGAAACAATTCCTGATTATTTTAAAATAATTAATAATTATGATTATTTGCTGATTATTTTTAAACTGGATTGCTGCTTTGGAGAGGGAAGTCCAGTAAATATTGAGATTGTTACTCACCTTGCACAGTATTTCCCGTAGTGGGGTGTGTGCTTTTGGGCTCCACGTGTTTGCACTCACATGAATTGTCAGCAATGGAAAGGGCACAAGGAAGTCACATTTTCTTTGAAACTGGGGGGGTGTTGTGGTCAGCAGGACCAGCATTCCACTTCTGTGACATTTTTTACAAAATTTAAGATAATTAAGAAGGAAAAAATCCGTTGTTGATCACATTGTTCAGGTCAGTCACTTGCAGAGTTTCTTATGCTGTAGATGTGGAAAAGGCCAGAAACTCATTACATTATTTTACAGTCTTCCAAGCAGACTGAAATAGAACTGGATGAACCAATTTAAAGTGTGACTAACAAAGCACAGTGCAACATAAAGGAAATTACTTGTAAAGTGCATCTATTTTTAGTGATTTCATGCACTGTTAGTAAAATCCACATATATGTATATTTCTTTACCATAATATAAAACACCTTCCTCTGTTTATGGAACTTTTGGCAAGGTATTTATGCTCTCTAATGTTGAGCATGTCTAGAAGGATCAAAAATAGAACAGGAGGCAGCATGGGAAGCATACATTTATGCACATACCATGCCCAGTCTTAGCCAATAATGTACTCTCATCTATTTTAATAACCTGGAAAGGCAATTGCTTTTAAATCCTCTCCTGGAAAGAATATCAGCACAAAAATATGTGACACTTGAGCAAGATTTAAGGAAATTGTTGTGCATTTTGGTTCTTTTTTTTTAAACTGGTGGGCCTGGAAGGAGCTGGCCTTGTGTGTCTGGAGCACCTGGAAAATTACAGCTGGCCTGTAACTGCTTGTGTTTAGTAAAACTAAATGGTGGTTCCATACCTTCCCTTCCCTCTGTGACTCCTCTACCACTTCTGCCTCCCAGTTCCATATGATGAGTCTGAACAGAATTAAGCAAAAGGGCCCAACCAGTTGGAGCTGAACAGAACTGCAGAGTCCTGAGTGAGGGAGACTGGGATTGTACCTCACCTCCCCTGTTCTCTATTTGCTGAGGGGGCCAGGAATGCACTACTGAAACCTCTGACAGCCCCTTCTCAATGCTGTTGGATTAAGAAGGAACCCTTGAGTTTGGAGGAGGGAAGATGTGATGTTTATCTTTGGGGGAGAAAATCAGAGAACTGGGCAGAAATATTTCAGTGGCTGGAGCTGGTATGAGAAATAAATGTTTTATAAGCATGTCTGACTAGAGTGAAATAGAGTGATAAGGGCTGGAAGTGCTGCCAGTTGCTGTTAAACCAGATGGATCTGTGATAAATTCAGGTAATTAAACCCTGGAATTTGAGGGGAGAGCAGAATCCCACTGAGTGCTTTGTTTTACTTTCCCTTTACAACCTCTGAAAACCAAGTGGGATAGTTTGGAGCACCCAAGAAGGCATGGCTGTGTAGGGCCCACCACAGAGCCCAGTGAGATGAATCAGCCTGACAAGATAAGTTTTAAATGCAGGAAAGATGAAAATAGTACAGATAGCAGTTCAGAAATGTCAGTGGACTACAATGCAACTCTGAGGGTATTTTTATGCTCGTGCTGTTTACAAGGTTTAACCAGATCTGCTCTTTCCCTTTTTGCAGTGGTGGTTGAGGTCACTGGTCACGCCCATGTTCTCCTGGCTGCATTTGAAAAGGTAAATGAGTGGGTTTTTCCCTTTGTCCTTGTGTATGTAAACATTTCCACGGGTCATTAGTTTGTATTTATGTAACACTTAGCCCAACAGAGTCCTGGCTCGTTCCTGGGTGGTGTTGTAGTACAAGAAATCTCTTGCAGCAGCTCCTGTGCAGCCTGTAATTATCATTTGTACCTGAGCTGGTCGCTCAGGTAATTGCAGCTGCTGTTTCCTGTGTGTGGGGAGAGGGTGGAAGGTGTTGTCCATGGCTGCTACCGTGCAGTTTTCCAGAGCAGAACTGGATCTGCCGTGTCCAGACCCTGTTGCACTATCGTTTGGCCTTAGCTTACACACAGGGCCAAGCCCTTTGGAAGAATTAGGACACATCCTGCATGAAGACTGTGAGCTTCACTACTCCTGGGTGGTGTGTTTGATGTAGTGACCACTGCCTGCATGGTAAGGCCAAGCCAAACTTTGTGCACAAGCCTTGATAACAAACTCTCTTCACATGATAACTGGACCCTCAAAAGAGTTGCAGGATCCATAACTACACCATAATGTGTCTGGCTGTGGTAACACTGCACACACCTACCCTGGGCAGGTGATTCTTGTGGTGACATGCTGAGGTGAGGCAAGAGATGCTGGAGCAGAGCTGGGCATGCAGAGGGGAGCAGCATCAGTGCTGTGCCATTGGAAATTCCCCATTTCCAGGCTGGCACGTGGCTGACCTTGGTATCTCAATCCACTCGGTTCCTGTCGTATCCCTGTGCAAGTTGCCAGGTCTTACTTCTCTTCCTCCCAGGTGGATAATGTGGATAGTGAAGAGCTGACTCAGAGGGCATGGGAAGCACAGTCAGTCCTAAGGAAGCCATGGGGCTGTAAGATGCTTTAAGTGTTCTAGGTTGCTTTTTGTTGGACTGATCTGTGAAGAAAATGAGTTTTCCAGTGTTAGAAAGGTTGTTCTGAGCACTGGCTCCATAGGTAGTTTTGCTCCTGGCAATTAGAGATGGGCAGCTGCAGCACCCCTGGGATCAGGGCAGGGATGTTATTCTAGTTTCCTCCTCTGGCTGATGTGGAAAAACAAAACACACTGGAATCCCTCATAGTTCAGTCTCATAGTCACAGTTCAACCACTTCTTACTTCTCATCTTCCACTGAATGCTTAGAACAAGATTAAAATCTCACTTTTAATAAGAAGTCATAGGGCAGAGTACATGTTGAGTTCATCCTCCCTGTTTGATTAAAATATGTTCCCCATCCTCAGAATAATTGCAGCTTTTGAAGTGTAGGTCCATAAATCCAGGGGAGGTCCCTGTTAATAAGCACTGCTGATCCCCCAGAGGACAGACAGACCAGCAGGACCTGGTAACTTGCTATTTATATGTATCTTTAAGATCAGAATAACAACCTAACAACCTTGATCCTTTGTGTAGTTTGACCTTGCAGCTCTTCGAAAGGCAGAAACTTGTTTGCCTGAAAACAGGACTGTTTTGTCTTTGGTGTGATGTTGTTGTCCCTTCCTTCTGAAACTCCTTCAGCAAACAGATGCACATCTGCAGCTGTTCACAGCAGCAGGACCTGCTGGAGCATCCCCTGAGTCTCCTTTGCTGCTCTCTAGACTATGGCAGGGGGGTTGATTTCTTTCTTTTTAGTGGCCCTTGTGGATGATGGGTAAAGTAGAACTGGCATCACTAGTTCTGGCACCAGGGTTTACAGAATTGTTCCAGCTGTGCCTGCTGCCACTGAGGACGTGAAAGGCTCACAGCTCTGAGGATGTGGAGCACGTGTGACTTGTTTCTGAGTCTGTCCAGTGGACAAACCTTGTTCTCAGCCTCTTGCTCTGTCAGGGCTTTGGCCTCAAGAGTGGCTCTGTCGCTGGATGTTATTTCGGGTGTTAACAAATATCCCCTGCCAAGTCCTCCTGGACTGGCTGCAGAAGTGTCTGCACCCAGTTGGATTGCTTACAACCTGAAAGCACCCAGTGTGCCAGGGGAGTTTTGTGTGTGCTCTGACCACTTCAGCAAGGTTTAACTTGAGCCAAGTCTGTCTGACTCTGCGCTGGAGCAGACAAGGCATGCTCCAATACCCTGTTCCACTAACTCTGCTGGGAGGGATTGCCATCCAGGCTGTCCTGGTTATACATCCCCTCCCCTCCCCATAGCTAGCACACACCAACCCTGAGCACGAGTCTGCTTTAATTACTTTATTTAATCAAATTTTTATTTTATTTAATTTTTCAGCTATTTAATGCGTTTCCTTTTTTTGCCCTGCTAGCACGTTGATGGCAGTTTTTCTGTGAAGCCCTTAAAACAGAAGCAGATCGTAAGTACCTGTTTTCTGTCTACTCTTGGTTACGGACTTGCTGGTGTCCCACAGGTGCCTGACTGTACCCAGTGGGAAGGTTTGGTGTTCTCTGAGAGCCTGAGATCCCACCTCTTTAGCTCAGATATCACAAGCAAAGGCAGTGAGCTGCTGGCTGCCCTAAATGTTGCCCTTTGGTATCCCATCCCAGTGTGATGTGCAGAAGCTGGGTAGTGCCTCTTCAGGATTGAAATTGCATTCAGTCCTGCATAGACAAAAATGCATAAGCAACTACAAACTGCTGAGAGTGCCAAGGATTTCAGCTTCTGAGAAGAGCTCTGGTAGTGATCCTGCTGCAAAGATCAGCTTGAAATGTCTTGGAGAAAGAGATGAGATTTTGGAGGTTGATCCCTTCACCCTTCGGTGTGTGCTGTGTTTCTGCTTTAAATGTTAGACTGTTCATGATGGATGGTAAAGGTTTACTGATCTGAATTTAAAAGCCTTTTACTACCAAGAAGGTCATTAAGTACCTTAATAAGACACTTCTTGCTTTGAGATGTACCTTCCAGTCCCCAGATCAGAAGAGAGCCTCAACCAGTGTCAGTAATCATATATGAAAATGGTATTTGGTAATTCACTGTCTAGCTCCCCAGCTCTGTGCAGAGAGTCATGACCTGTCCATATTGGACATCTGACAGCAATATTGGCCCTCTCTCCCAGAGCTTTATCCCAATGCCAGTGGTGTGGGAGTTGCCACTCCAGCCTGATATCCGTTCTGATCCCTGTGTGTCCCAGACTGATCTGTGCTCCCTTATCTTCCTTGGTGCTCCCCTTGGCTGTGTTGCAGCACAGTCTCCTGGCTGGTTGATCAATCTGGGTCTCACAGTATTTTTAATAGAATCAGAGACTGTTTTGGAAGGGAGTCTGTCAAGTGTATGAGGGCAGGTTTGTCGTGGGAACATCCAGGAGAGCTGTGCCTCGGCTGGAAGATGGAGCAGAGCGATGTGATGCCAACAGTGCCTCTTTCTCACATATTTTTCAGATCAGAGTGTTTGTCAGCTGATGAAAAGCCACTCATTTATCCTGCTTGGGGTTTTTTTGAGGGAGGGGGTTTAATGTTTTTATCTCTAAACCGGTGCTTCCATGGTGTGAGCTCTCTCATTGCTGGGTTACTGTGCACACTGAGGCAGTGTGTGCATCCTTCTCCATTCAGCACTGCAGACTCCCCACATGGAGGGCTGTCTTGCTGGAAATGCTCTGCAGGGAAGTTCCCACCCTACCACGGTTTGGTTAGCTGACTCCTGCAGTGGAACACTGAGTGCTTGTCTGTCTTTACTGGCAGAGCATGTAACCTTCCCACTCAGTGTTTAGTTGTGGGTACTTTTTTTTTTTGTTGGCAGTTAGTAAAATGTAATGTTTCTAAGTTCTCTCCTGTGGCTTTTGGAATAGAAGGAAGCTCTTGTTAAAGAACACACAGTACCACTGAAACTGAGATGGCATCTGCACCCTTAAAAGCATAGAGCAGAGGTGTAGAGTCTGTGTCTGGAGTAAACCATGTTATAACACTGTACATTCTTTGCCATCCCTGCTTTTCTTATGTCTTCCCCTCCCTGCCATTGCCAGGATTGTGGGTACCTTTTGTGGGCATCAATCTCTAAAGCACTTTGGGAGCAAGAAGCAGCAGCCCCTGGGCTGAACTGCTTTGTGCTGTGTTCAGTTATAGTGTAAGTACCAACCTGTTTACAGAAATTCAATCTGAATGAATACAAACAGATGGATCAGCAGAAAAACATAACCTGGACTTGGCCAGTGGTTCCTGTGTGCATCCAGTGAGGCTGGAAATGGCAACAGAAGCCTTTGGAAGGATGATGTGGTGTGGGATGGGTTGGAGAAGGGTGAAGGTGAAGGACTGCATGGTCTGCAATCACCTACTTCTTCTTAATTACTCCTACTCTTCTAAAACCTAGAATTCTTTCTAGTAAGAGCTGTTGCACTGCTCACCCTTTCCCTGCTGGGACATGAGTTTCTCAGGATTTTTAGAGGAAAGCAGTTAAAAGGAACGCAGGCTCCTGCAGAGACTTTGGTCTCTCCCTCCCTGACCTCTTCTTTGCTTTGAGCTGACCACTCCTGCACACACTGTCACTCACTGTGATCCTCCAAGGAGTCAGGATGCTGTAACAAGGCTCTCTTTGAAATGCCAACTTACAAAAGGATGTTTCCCACATAATTGTCCCCAGACTTCCTGGGTGAGTTGTGAGCTGCTGCAGAGGGTTTTGCTCAGCAGTCCAACAGCTGATCTCATTGCCATGAAATGCAGGCCTAGAACAGATTGTCTGTGAGCTGCACACTGAGTTACACGGGGAGACTCTGGAATTAGTGTTAACACTGCCGTGTCCCAGCTCAGAGCATTTCTGAACCGACAGATGGGCTGGATACAGCTCCCTCCTGCCCCCCTCTTGGCATGTGTCACCTTCTAAAGCACTGGAGTCCCTTGGAAAGCCACTGCTCACTGAGCACCTGGCTTGACTAGAGGAGAGGAGAGAGGCCAGTTACACGTGGAAATGCCAGGAGCCCTGGGATTGACAGCTGTTGTAGCACTGGGGCCCTGGGGGCTTGGCTTCACTGCATGTTGTCAGCTGGACATGGAGATGGCAGGAAAGTTTGTCCTTCCCCTGCTTGTGACACGTGTCTGTTTGGTACCTGGCAACACTTTTACCTGTTGCAAGGTTTTGTGCAGGCAAAGCAACACTCCTGCTCTGGGGAAGCTGCTGTGTAGCACCAGATCACAGAATCCCAGGATTTTTTAGGTTGGAAAAGACCTCCCAAGATCATCGAGTCCAACCTTTGACCAGCCAGACCAGAGCACTGAGTGCCATGTCCAGTCATTCCCTGAACACCTCCAAGGATGGCGACCCCACCACCTCTCTGTGCAGCCCATTCCAGTGTTTAACAACCCTTTCTGTGAGAAATTCTTCCTGATGTCCGACCTGAGCCTCCACTGCTGTTACAGATCCCTCTGCAGAGCCTTCCTACCCTCCAGCAGATCAACACTCCCACCCAACTTAGCGTTGTCTGTGAACTTACTGAGGGTACACTCTGTCCCCTCATAAATAAAGATGTTAAACAGGACTGAATCCTGGGGGACCATTATCTCTGTGCTTCCTTGTAGAGGCTGCTCCTCACAGCTGTGAGAGTCTCGTGCTGTAGTGGAGGGCTAAGCTGGAAAACAGAGGAGAACCCCCAGTGCAGAGGGACTTGACCCATCAGCCCTCCTTGTCTCAGTGCTGTGGTTCAGCTGCCCAGGGGGGTTTGCAGGCAGCTGCCAGTTTGCAGAAGTCATGGCTTGGGGGACTGTGTCCCTCTGAGTAACTTCCAGCTGTGCCTAGAGCACTTTCTGCCACCACACCTCCCATTTATAGGTGCCACCAAGGGCCTGGGGATGGCAATCAGTGACACAGCACTAATGTAGGGCTGTCCGTGCTTCTCGTGCTAAGGGAAATGGTTTGTCTGTCCTTAGAAGCTTGACCTTGTGCTCCCAGGGGGTGAACAGGGAGGTGATGTGCCACCTTTGGTGTGCCAGTAAGGAGCTGTTGGCACAGCCTCTCTCTGCTGAGGTTGCAGAAATGGGTGGAAGTTCATCTTGGTTAAAGTTAAGCAGCACTCCCACAGAGGACTGTGGAAGGCTGATTGCCTCTGGATTATTTGAGCTATGGGTGTGTATACTCTGAGACAAGCAGAGCACTTGTTTTTTAGATTATTTTGATAGCCCAGCTGGCCACTTTTGTTGCTCCCTACCTGCACCAGGCGGGGTGGGCAGCACTTTTTGAGCAAGGAGAGGCTCACTCTCCACTCTCATTCTCTGTCCTTGGCAATGTTTGTTATCTTCCATGTTGCTGTAGGGAAGCTGTGGGTTAACATGGACATTTTGACACGGGGAGGGAGGGAAGGTGGTCACAGAACAGCAATGACAGAGCAGCTGGCACTCCAACTATTGTCTTCTCCCCCAGGTTGACCGGGTGAGCTACCTGCTTCAGGAGATCTACGGCATCGAGAACAAAAACAACCAGGAGACCAAGGTACAGATGCTTCCTGAGCTGTGGCTTTCCAGCCTGCACCTTCTGCTTTGGAGCTTAACTATGGGGATTGTCAGGGCAATGTGGAGGTGCTTCCCAGAGTGACTGTAAAGTCTGTGTCGTTCCTGCAGGCACCAAAGAGGACCAGGGATGACAGGTCCTCACTGGTGTAGGGCCTAAACAGTCAGTGGAGTTGTGCTCAGATAATTTTAGGCAGCATGAGGCTCTTGAGGATGTTCCTTGGGGCTGGGATTGCTGCGAGAGAAGGGCCTCAGTGCCCCATGGATGTTTCAGAGCACTGGATTTTAGGGCTTGTAGAAAGCTCTGTGTGTGTGTGTTGCTGCCTCCCTGCATCAAGGCAGTTGTGTCTGGTGTCTGTGCTCTGCTCCCGTGGCTCCTTCACATTCTTCTGGTTGGGAGTTCTGCATGTTCCTGTAGTGTTTCAGAAAACTGAGCTCTCTAGGGCTTGCCAGTATCCAGAGAGCAGCCTGCATTCCCCAGCAAGAGGGAGCACAGCATCCGTAAGGGATGTGTATGCAAATGCTGTAACCAGAAACATTCCCATCTTGAGGCAGGAGCTGCTGCTGGATCCCAGCTGCTGGATCTGTGCCTGCTTTGTGCTTCCTTTAGCCTTTTTAGAGCTGCCCTTTGCTGCCACCTGGGCTGTGGAGTGTCCCCACTGCTGGTCTCAGGATCACACAGCTCCAGGTTGTGTAGTCCATGATTTGTAAACAGAGCAGTAGCCACAGAGCAAGACAAGCAGGATTTCCTCTCCAGGCAATGCAGTGTCCTTCCCAGAGTGTCCTGTGATCTCCCTGTGCCAACAAGCAGTACCTGGAGAGGCAGGAGGGAGAAGTCTTTTCCAAGATTTTTCTTCCACAGGATCTATTTAAGACGATTGAAAGCTTCTTTTTGGGTCCTCCAGGGTCTTGTAATGATTCTCTTGATCCAGCAATCACACATTTGTGGCCCAATCAGACAAGTGGCCTGGGACCATTTTGTTCTTCCTGGTGTACTCAGCAAACTGTGTGAATGGGGCAACAAAGAGCCTCCCTCCCTCCCCAGATACCTGAGGGGCAGGTGTGATGGGACAGACAGCCCTGTGCAGGCAGGCAGCAGGCTGGGTGAGGATGTGGCAGCAGCACAGTTGCTGTTTACACCGAGGTTGCCCAAGGTGTGGCATGTTCTAGCCCTGGTGACCAAAGGGACCTCGTGAAGTGGGACCAGGTGAAGGTGGAGGTGCCCCATGCTGGGTCATTGTGGTCCTGACACAACTTCTGTGACATGGGGGGGGAGACAGTGAAGTTTTCTGCTGTCAGTCTTGTGGTTGGAAAGTGCATTTCTCCTCCCACCAACAGTTTGATCAGTGTCTGTAATCCAGTTTGTGGGGCTCTGAGTGACTGAGCCACGAGTGTGGTGCATGTTCCTGTTGAATGGGTGCACACAGGCCTTTTTACCAGGGTAGCTGTGGGCAGGTGAACATCCCAGGCTGGTTCTCCTGAGGCTGCATCAAAGCTTGTGCCAGCACGGGAGCTGGTGAAGGTGCAGAAGAACCACTGACTCCCTCACTTGTTCAGAGCACCTGTGGAAGCTGGGCTGGGCATGGCTGGCATGCCTCCTCCTGTCCAGCCTGGGGGCAGCCTGACCTGCTGCCTGTCCAGCTCCTTGTGGGGATGCTCTCAGTGTGGGAAGAAAGGCTGGAGTGCCAAAGAACTTGCTTCCCTGCTGACCCTGGAGCCACCAGGCTGGAAGGCAGGAGCTGGTTCCTGGTACCCTTCAGCTAAGAGGATCCCTTCCCCGAAGGGGCTCTGGGGAAGGACAGCTCTGCCCAGAATTCCCAGTGCAGTGCCCTGGCCTCTGGCCTTCAGGGAGCTCGGAGCAGAGCCCTGGGATGAAGGAGTGTCCAAGCAGGGCTGTGTGGGCTGGAGTTTGCTCTCCTTCAGAAACCCCCCCTGAGAGCTGACAAAAGAGAATGCCAGCTCTACCACAGACTTTTGGGTGGGAAATTTCCCCAGGCTCCAGAGTCCCTTGGCAGTTTGGCATGCCCCTGACCATTCCCATGCCAACGTTTTCCCTCTCCTTGCAGCCTTCAGACGACGAGAACAGCGACAACAGCAACGAGTGTGTGGTTTGCCTGTCTGACCTGCGGGACACCCTCATCCTGCCCTGCAGACACCTCTGCCTGTGCAACTCCTGTGCTGACACCCTGCGCTACCAGGCCAACAACTGCCCCATCTGCAGGCTCCGTGAGTCCCTGTGTGCCTGGAGACACGGGCACCTCCTCCCTCCCAGGCTCCTGTTAGGGCACTGCAGGCTGTGAGAGGGAGCATGTTTTACACACCCCACCCCAAGGCTCTGCATCCCACTGCTGCTGCTCCCACCTGGATGTGAGAATGGCTCTTTGCCCAGTGCCTCCCTGGCCACTCGTCCTCTCCCTGGGATGGACCTGAAGGTGAAGGTGTTCTGAGCTGTGCCATGTTGGCAGTTCTTGTGTGGAAAATGGAAAATCCCCCAAAGGAGGGGATGCAGAAGCTTTATCCTGAGGGTATCTGGCCCAGATAACAGCCAGCCCTACTGGAGGGCTGTCCAAGTACTTTCTGTGATTTTTTTTTTTCTTCTGATAACTTTGCTTTCACCAGGAGGCAGAGATGAGATAAGTCAAATTGGAGTCCTTTGCTTTGCCAGGAGTTAGGAGGATCTGCTTAACCCTTGCATTGCTCAGTTCCCAAAAGATGGAAAAAATTAAATACCTGTTTCTACACTCAGTCAGCACTTGCTGAATTCCACATCTTTTCTCAAAAGCACAGAGGCATAGGAATCTCCTGAGAAAATGCCCGTGTTTTTGCTGGAGTAGGCAGATCATGTGTTTTACCCCTGCCTGGTCTCTGATGTATTTGATTGTTTCTAACTGATAATTCTGAGGAAAAGAAAAAAAGAACCTAAGACAGATGTTTGGCCTGAGAAACAAAGTCTAAACAGTTCAAACATGGCAAAGATGCAGTAAACAAAAGCAAGATCTTACCAGAGGAAGTGCCGGGCAGCTTTGGCTATAAGTGGCACAACTTAAAACAGTTACAGAGTTATCTCATCTGCAGGGGAGCAGGTTGTATTTGTACCTCTGTCCTCTGTCTCTAGGCTGATCTTGCAGTGGCTGGGTGCAACAAGAACCAGGGAAATGCCTGGCAAGTCCTCACAGCTGCATCAGAACAGATGTCTGGCTCGTTCATGTGCACCCTTGGCACAGAGGAACTAACAATATTAAAGATCTGCAGATAGAAAATGGGGCTGTGGGCAGGGGTGGAGATCAGAGCCGTGGTGGTGGGAGGACCAAGGGATCTCTGTGCTGGAGGCAGGAGTACAGCACTAACCCCCCAGCTGGGTTTGCAGCCAGCACAGAGCCTCTCCCCACCACAGCCCGTGGCAGGCATAGTGCTTCCAGTGCCAGCTGGGCCCCAGGGCTGAGCTTTGTGGGGTCTGAATGAGCCCAGAGTGGTTTTACATGAGCCCCCCTCCCCATCCTGTAGATTGCAGTGCACTCTCAAGGCCAAGCTCATGTTTTTCTTACTGTGTCATTGGAATGACCCACCCTTAAGGGCAACTTCTCTGGGCCTCTACACTTGTACAGTATCAGGCCTGAAGGATGTCCATGACTGTGCCTGTTCTCCACAAGGACTCTGTGTGCCCAGACTCTTTCAGCCAGCAGATCTCTTCCCTCTCTAGCTGAATTGACTGGAAGCCCAGCCACAGCGCTTGGCTTTGGGGTGCTCAGGGTGCACAGGGGAGCTGCCCCATGCCAACAGTGTGTCTGTGGCAAGGCAGGGAGCTCTGGCATGGCCTGGTCCTGCTGGGCTGTGCAGTCACCTGCCTCGTGTTCCCTCCTAGCCTTCCGTGCCCTGCTGCAGATCCGGGCGGTGAGGAAGAAGCCGGGGGCTCTGTCGCCAGTGTCGTTCAGCCCTGTCTTGGCACAGAGTGTTGACCATGATGAGCACTCTGTAAGTACCTTGGGACCCCGGGGACAAAGCCTGGGTGCTGGTCTCAGCCTGAGCAGGCAGCTTGGCCTGATGGTTGGTGACACTTCCTGGTGTCCCAGGGACCTTGAGAGGTTGGCTCAGACCCTGCACCGAGGGCTTCCTGAGCAGTGCAGCCTTTCTTGTCAACCTCCGAGACTGTGAGGTCCTGTATTAGTGATACAACTAGATTGGAGGAAACAAATCCATAGAAACCTCAGGCTGATGAGATTTCTTGGGGCCTGTCCCAGCAGAAGAGTGGCAGACTCTGGGCATGACAGGGTTGGGGCTGGGAAAACAGGGCAGGGGGGTTACAGTTTGACTTGCCCACACATCTGTGTGGCATCACACCAATGAAATGCCCTTGGCACTGGGGTTCTCAGAAAGGCCTCTTTTTTGCAGCCTCCCTGAGTGTGCTGGGAGACAGCTGAGGGATGGGTAGTGTGGCACTGGTGGCCTCGGGGCCCAGCTGCATGTCCCCAGTGTGGTGAGGGCAGCAGCTCTTTGCCTGAGCAGCGCTGTTGAACAGCTGGCTCTGGTGAGACACATGAGATCAGAGTGAGAAGGAGAACCACATGTAGATCATCTTACAGGCTTTCTGTGGGAACAGATGCTGTCACAGGAAAAGGCTGCCCTCTGCAGTGCTTTAGCCCTGCTGCCTTCAGCTGGGGCTGAGGAACAGGGCAGGGTAGAAAGCCCAAGGGTTGCTGTGAAGCAGAACATGGTGTGTGGAGGAAGCAGGTGCTGACACCTGCAGCGAGGCAAGGAGATGCTGAGTGTCTCTTCCTGTCACTAACCTCAAGAAACAACTTCTTTAAAACATGGTTTTCTCTTGACAGCGTCCCTTTAAGCCCCTTAAGGTGAGCTCTGTCTCCCTGCCCAGCAGGAAGCCTAGGAGGGGAATAAGAACAGTAAGTGGCCTCGGGTGGTTGCACTGGGCTCCTGCGGCGTCACCTGCACGAGGCAGTCACACACACAGGGCTTGCTGACACGCTGGGTCTGACCTGTGCCCCTGCCTGGGCTATGACACTCCACCTCCTGCCTCCACCATGGCAGTGAGACACTCACACCCTGCACGGACCATCACTGACCTCCCTGGTTTGCCTGTGGACAACAAGCGAGATGGAAGCAGCTTGTCACAAGGGGCTGACTCAGGGGCTGTCCCCAGGTCCTGAGCCTGGATGATTTATGGTCCCTGACCAAGATATTTTCACAGTTTCATAGGACTGTGGGCAAACTGCTGTCCCCTTGGCTCACCCAAAAGCTTCCTTGCACTTGTCTCATCCCCTCGGCAGTTTGGTGTGGGCACATCCTGGTGTGGTTTCCAACCCGGTGCTGGGATGTAGAGGTTGACAAAGAGGCACAGGTGGAGCAGGTCTTGCCTTCAGGAACACTGGCTGCAAGGGGCTGATTTGCTTTTACAGAAACAGGAGGGATGGAGCTTGTCTTGTCTGGGGACTCTCTGAGTTGGTGTGGGATTGAGTAACTGGAACACTGTGCTGGGAACAGGATGAATGGCAACTGTGGGGGACCAGGAGCTGGGAAAGGGAAAGGTGAAGGAGGCCCCAGGTCAGGAAGGTTCTGTTTGTGCCTTCTGTGTATTCCCATCAGATACAGCTATGGCTGTTGTTGATATCAAGGAGGTTTTCTTTTGCTCAAGCCAGCCTAGATGCTCGGTGTTATGAGGAATGTGGCTTGGTGGGCTTGTCAGGTCTGGAGAAAACCAGGCAGGGTTCAGGTAATGAGGCTCTTGCAATTTTGGCACGACCTGGCTCTCTGCAAGCCTCCTTCAGTGTCCAGCAGTGCTCCTGGGTGGGGTAAGTGTCCCAGAAGAGAGCAGAGTCTCTTAGGGTTGTTTGAAAGCTCAGTAACTTGCAGTGAGGGTGTTGTAGCCATTGGCTGAGAAATCCTCCTCCAGCCTCTGAGCTGTGCCATGGAATCTGAGCTTTCACCACAACAACTCAAAATGAGCAGCCTTTGAACTCTCAGGCTCCAGTCTGCACAGGCAGGAAAAAATGTCCCAAACATGAGCCAGGGGAGTTTGTCTCCATGACTTCTCTGTCGACAAAATAGCACCTCTGAACTGCTGTCTGGAGATGAAAGGTCTTTTGGAGGTGGTTTTTGGCCCCACCACCTACAGCTGGCAGCAGCTGGGAGCTGTTAAGCTGAGCTGAGCTGGTTCTTTTCAAACCAGCACAGGACCAATACTGAGGTGAGGGTCAATGATTGACCCTTCCCATCAGACCAAATTCCTCCTGTGACCACGTGTGAGTCAGTTCAGCACTGAACCCACACCAGATTAGTGGCTGTGCTGGAACAGGCTGCTGGGGAGGCTCATCTGCTGCTGTGTGATGGGGACATCAGGCACAGAGTGGCCACAGGAGTTCATGGCCAGGCTTAGCAGCAATGTGCCATCTTAGGCATAACTTAGAACCACCTCCCTGAGGATACAGGGCTGGAACAGCTCAGTGTAATGCAGTCTGGACTGCTGCAGTGTTGCCTCTTTGTTTGCATCAGGCTGGGCTGATCTCTTTATGGCCTCCTGAGTTGCAGCATAAACCCCATTTGTCTCTGAGTCCACAGGATCTTTATGATCAGGAGGGTTTTTAACCAGTGGTGGTTTAATGGCTTTGGAAGGGTTCCTTTGACTGACAGCTTTGTGAGTTACAGAGGGAATGGGAATTGGTGTGGCTTTCCCTCCTCCCTTATGGGTTCAGTGGTTCTGTGATCCCTTTCCTGCCCTTTAGCAGAGGTGACTGTGCAGGGAGCCACTGTTAGCAGCTGGGAGGACATGGGAGAAGTGGAAGTGGTGTAGGCTCTGAGAACCATCAGCTGGTGCACATGTTCCCTCCTTCAACTCTGTCTTGGTGACACTGGTGGTGCTGTGAAACAGCTGCATGTTCCTTGGCTGGAAGCACAAGTGAGGTGTTCATTGAGCTGGAAGGGGCTCTGAACCATTGGAGGAACTTCTGGGAGAAAAAATCCAAATGTATTTTATAGCAGCTTTTTGGGAACCCGCTTTCTCACCCTCCTTGCCCAGCTCTTGAAAGTACATCAGAGGGCTGCCCAGCCACCATCCAGCTCACTGGGATGCCCAGTCTCTGGGCAGTGCTCTGGAAACTTGCCCGGAGCATCATCAGCCTTACAGCCCTGAGGGAATGAGTGGCTGTTGCAGGGGAAGGGGCTGAGGTGCTGTGGAGAGGTGGCTGTGGGGATGGGCTGCCTGGCAGGGCAGGGCTGGATGGCAGCAGGGCTTCCCTTTTCCAGGGGGGGTCCCTCCTGGTGATGTTTTCCCAACGTCCCCTCTCTCTCTTGCCCGCAGAGCTCTGACAACATCCCTCCTGGCTATGAGCCCATCTCCTTGCTGGAAGCACTGAACGGGCTCCGCTCCGTTTCCCCCTCCATCCCCTCTGCTCCTCTGTACGATGAGATCAGCTACTCCGGGGTGGTGGATGGGATCCCTCCCGCCAGCCGCCCGCTCGTGGGCATGGACAGAGCCCTGGAGAGCGGCCACCAGAAGGGCAAGCGCAGCAAGTCTCCAGACAGGTCAGCATGGGGACAGGGGACACTCCTCCTGCAAGCCCTGAGGGCTTGTGCCCACATACACTTCGAGCCAGGAGAGGGCTCTGGCTGGTCCCCTCGCTGCCGACTCGGGATTTTAGGAGGCCAGCAGGTACTGGTGCCAGAGAGAGAACTGGGACATCGTCTCTCTGTTCAGCCTGAGGTTACAGCTTGTGTCTCCTAAAGGCTGGCTGTGCCACCAAAAGAAATAGTATTTTTAGCAAGGAGAATTTAATCTTAGAATCGTGAATTGGTGTTGGTTGGAAGTGGTCCTAAAGTTCATCTCATTCCACCCCCCTGCCATGGGCAGGGACACCTTCCACTAGCCCAGGTTGTTCCAAGCCCCGTCCAACCTGGCCTTGGACACTTCCAGGGATGGGGCAGCCACAGCTTCTTTGGGGAACCTGTACCAGGGCCTCCCCACTCTCACAAGGAAGACTTTGGATGGAAATGTCTCCTTCCCAATGCACTTAGTCCCTCAATTTGCATTTGACATCCAAACCTTGTTGGATTTCAGCTTTCCATGGAGCTCCACAGGGGCAAAAGAATGGGGAGAGAAGTGACCTGAAATTCAGAGCACAAAGAGCTCAGTTGAGATCCTGTAGTTGTTGTCTGAAGGCTCCTGTGTTGGCTTTGGGATGGAGGGTGTAGGTGAGGATGCAGGGCTGTAGAGATAGGATCAGCCTGGGTTTGTTCCTGCCACTCCTCCCTGTGCTCCAGCCCAGTTTTCCCCCTTGGAAGGGAGTCCAGAAGGTGTGAGGAGCAGTGTGGGACCTGAGCCTCTTGCTTTCCATGCAAAGGCAGGTTTGTCCAGGCTGTGTTGCTGTGCCAAAGCTCGGCACTCCTTGGCTCTGTCCTGCTGTGCTGCCGCTCCCCATGGAGCCAATACAGGAGGCCCTGGCAAATTCGGGGAGCTCCTGCTTGTGGGCTTGTGCTGCCCCAGGTCCTCCAGGAGCTGTGGTGCTGGTGGCTCCCTGCAAATGGAGTTTCTCTTGCCACACAGCACACTACGGTCCCCCTCGTCCCCAATCCACGAGGAGGATGAGGAGAAGCTCTCCGAGGACTCCGACTCGCAGCCGGCACTGAGCGGAGGTGAGCTGGTCCTGAGGGAGACCAGCTCTCCAGAGGTGAGTGTGTGCTCTGCTGGGGAGCTGCCCTGAGCCAGAGCTCTTCTGAGGGGGCTTCTGGGACAGGGGAGGTGTCTCGTGAAGGGCCGTTGCCCAGAGCCTTGGCTGCTTTATTTACCCCTGAGGCTCCATGGGGAAGGATGTAGCCACTCCCTGTGCCACTGACCCCTCTTTGGGAGCAGAGGCATTGGATAACCACTCCTTTGGAGCCATGTCAGAGCTGACCTTCCCCGGTGTCCTGAGCAGTGTTTGGGGCAGGGATGGGAGCTGGACCTTGCTGGGACATAAACCCCCTCTATCCCAGCCCATGGTGCCACAGCACTGGGGGATGGCCCCTTGTTCCTGCCCTGGAACAAGTCCTGGCCCCAAGTGCAGCTCCCTGGAGAAAGCCAGAGCAGGAGAATGGCACAGCAAAGGCCTCCAGCTGCAGAAATAACCTGTGCTGTCCCTCCTTACAGAGCGTGGCAGGGGAAGAGATGGAGGAGGCCTCGCCTGTGCAGCAGGGTAGGTGTGAACCTGGCTGTGGGTGCAGCCAGACCTTGGCTTGGTGTCCAGTGCTCTTGTGGTGGGATGGGGACAATTAGGGAATGAACAGAAACATCCAGTCCCCCAAGTCCATCTCTGAGCCTCTGTGCTTCACCAGGGAAAGGTGCCAGGGTCTCTTCTGGGAAGTGGGGGAAGAAAATCCACTGATCTCCCTGGTTTATTTGCCAAGCATCTCACCTTGCTCTAAGCTTTACACAAGTGGAGCTTTTCATGCCATGGGCTGTTTCCTTGCACCACTGGGGTCCTGGTGAGAGCACAGTCACAGTACTGGGCACACAGGATGTGCCCCATGTCTTTGGGATGGATCTCTAGTGCTCAGCCAGCACCCAGAGGGCACAGGGGTGGGGTGAGAGAGGGGTGATGGGCACATTTTGGGCCATGAGCCTGCATGTGAAGAGGTGGCCCTTTGGCACTGTGACCTGGGCCAGTCTGAATGGCTCTCTTGGGACCTCTGTGGGGCTGGGGGGGACCCGGGGAGCTTCTTCATGTGGAAGATCTCCACCCGTGCCGGCCAGGAGACCCCCCAGGGCTGAGCTGGGGGCTGAGGGGCTGGGCTGGGGATTGAGGGGCTGAGCTGGGGACCGAGGGGCAGTGTTGGGGGCTGAGGGGCAGTGCTGGGGGCTGAGGGGCAGTGCTGGGGACTTGAGGGGCAGTGCTGGGGGCTGAGGGGCAGTGCTGGGGGCTGAGGGGCAGTGCTGGGGACTTGAGGGGCAGTGTTGGGGGCTGAAGGGCAGTACTGTGGCTGGTTAACCGCAGGTGGTGGCCGCCCGCCCTCGGTGGAGGACGTGCTGCAGGACGGCGGCTGCGGCGAGAGCCGGAGCCTGACACGGTCCGAGAGCGACCCCCCTGTGGACGTGTTCCTGCCAGGTAACAGCCGTGCCGTTGGGGTGGAGCTGCGGGGCTGTGCCCCTGGCTCCAGGGCCTGGGGGGTTTGGGGAGTGTGTTGCTGCCCACGGGCAGCCCCAGCTGCTGCCTTGAGATGGGGCAGGAAAGAGCTGCCCGGAGCACGGGCTGCTGCTCCCTCCCCCTGGGCAGAGCTGTGGGCGAGGGGGGGTAACACAGAGGTAACTTGCCCCGCCTTCTCTCTCCTCCTCCCTCACCCTTGTGTCTCTGTCCTTCCCCTCCTTTCTCCTCTCTGGGCTGCAGCCACTCCCTGGCAGTTTTGTGTGACAGAGGCCTCCTGTGTGCTCCCAAATGTGCTCCTGCTTTTGGGCAAGGGAGGGGAAGCATCTGGGGCAGTTCCTGGGGGGTGGGGCAGTGTTGTCCCGGCGGGGAGGGGCCCCGTGTGCCGGGGGGCCCTGTGCTGTCCTCACCTCTGACTGTTGTTGTTGCAGCCTGTTCTCTTCTGTAGAGTCGCAGTCTGTTCTGAGTTACCTCTCTAATGTCTCCTTCCCTCTCTGTCTGCCTTCCTCCCTCCTGTCTTGGGCAGCACTGGGTCCTGATTCCTGCTCTGTTGGTATAGAGGAGTAAGCTGGTACGTCTTCTCATTCTTCTTTACTGTTGTGAGGGGCAGCAGGAGCCCTCCTGGGAATGTGGAATGGGGCTGGTCCTGGCCATGGAGCAGGGAAGGAAGGGGCAGCAAACCATCCAGGCTCTGTCCTGGGTCCATTCCCATTCCTGGCACCAGCATCCCTGCTGTCCCTGCGTGCCAGGACCCCAGGCAGGGCAGCAGAACCCCCTGCCCTTCCCACTGGCTTCTGCTGCCTCGTGGGCACCGTGAACACCCTGCTGGTGTCCCCAGGCTGGTGACAGAGGGTGTGTTGTCCCCTTAGTGCCCTGTGTCCCACCCCTGATGCTGAACCTGCATCGGAGGAGACGGAGCACTTGGCTCCAGCCCTGTCTCCCTTGGCCAGCTCAGGGCAGGAGGGTTTGGCCGATCCCCCTGCCAGGCCCTTCCTCTGCCCCCAGGGCTCCCGTTTCCGAGGCTGAACCCCCTTCTCCTCTCCCAGGCTCATCCGACTACACCAAGACGCTCCCCGTCCGCGGCACCGGCAGCCCCACGCAGCCCCTTCTCTTCGAGCAGACCCATCTGCACCTGGAGGACGAGCAGAGCCTCCCGTGAGCGGGGCCGGGCCCTGCCGGAGCCCCCCGGCCCTGCCCGCGCCCCTCGGACACGGTCCCGGCACAGCCCGTGCATGTTCCCTGGCGGTGGGTCGGGGCCGTGTTTCCCGTGGGCGGTGTCCGTGGGGCCGGGCGGGGGTTCGGGTTCCGATGGGCAGATGAAGGACGGACACTACCGATGTATATTTTGTACACACCGAGCACAGCCCTTTGCTGTCACTGCCCCTGTACAGAGCCGTGGCCTCCCCGCCGTGCCGGGCCGCGGGGCTCCGCGGGGAGGGGGGTCCGCGGGGGTCACCCCCGGCCCGTCCCGCAGAGCCCGGCGCTGCCCACGCCGTGTGCCTTGTTCTGCTTCTGCGGGGGGG